TTTCATTACGCATTGTTCTCAACAATGTCTCGTCTGATGAAAAATCCCCGCGGAACGTCTTTGAAAAATCTATCCCATTTTCGCTAGACTGTTTTCCAACCAATTCAGGTTTTTGATAGTGAACGGTTTGGAAAAGCAATTTCCCCGTTTTATGTCATTGAAATTGGAGTCAAAAGTTCCGTGGTAGGAGAAAATCTTCGGGCGAAAGTTTCTCAAAAAGGTGATATGAAATATTTTTGCTGGGTCTAATAAAAACTTTGAGCCTTTCTTTTCCAAACTATGACATCATACTTGTTGAAAAAAATTCAGAATCTTGATCTAGATCTCAATAGAGTTATTTGCACCTTTTCCCCAGGATAATTTCAAGATCTGAGTTGAAATAATTATCAAGTCAGTAAATTTTTGATTAAGTTTGAACGAAAAATCAGAAAAATGTTAGTAGTAGACAGTTTTGACTGTTTCGTAGCAGTTCTTCTCACCTTTGGATCGGCCCAAGTCTGGCCGACGCCGTAAAGTCTTGCCTTCTTGACTGATGCAACCGCTGTACTTGAATTCGAGGTAGCCATCAGCCCCTGAGCATTAAATAATCAATCCGTTGGGTTTTTAACTTGAAAAATGAGCCTTGAGCCTATATTTGAAAAAGATTACGCACCTAGAGAGCAAAGAAAACTCGTAGCCGTCCTGCTGGAACGTCTGTCCGATCTGGACTTTTTTTCTCGTCGGCAGAGAAACATCCTCTGGGTGCCAGTTGACCGCGGCTGCACTCGTAGAAGAACTTTCCTGAAAAAAGGATTTGTTCCCAAATAAATCGAAACAACACTTTTAACTGTAAAGGAGATAAAAAAGAAACCTCGAGTGATGATGGATCCCTCTTGCCACCATTGGGCGGGTTTGCCGTTGCCGCTGGTCCAGCACCTGCAAATATCCGCACTGGACTCCAGTATAAGCTCCATTTCTTTTGAAAGAGGGTTCCTGTCAAGTTTTTCGGAAAGAATACAGAAGAACAAGTTCTGTTATCACCCATCCGAGTAAGCCGGCTAATGTTTTGATGGAATCAAAATAAATGCGATTTTGCCCCTACCGCTGTCAAAATAGCGGTGTAAAGTAATTTTTCTTTTTTATCTCCCTTATTGATTTATCGTTTTTGTTTTTCACAAAGACAAAAAGAAATAAAGACTTTGATCCTGCAACCTTATCATTCCTTGGTGGCGTTCCGGTGATTCGATAATCAAAACAGGAACTATTACACCGGAAACTCTCAATCTTTCAATTGACAAATTATTCTCTCATATGAAAAACTTCAGCCTGTAATGATTTTCGAAAGTTGTTTCTGATATCAAAAGCCAAAGGAATGCTTTCAAAGTACTTTGCCAATCTGAAAGTTATAAGTTATCCCAGGAAAGATAATTAAAACAAGAAAATTTCCCTAAGGTTTTACAAAATTGTTTTTTTTTCAGATGCAAGTTGAATGCCCCAATTAACTAAAGCAATGAAAAGTGTTCAAAGTTGATCGTTAAACTTCTGTTTTATAGATTGTCGACTGTGGTTGGAAGAGAAAACTTTGGAAAGGAAAAAAAAAACTATAAGAAATGCAGGAAAAATTGCAGGTTGCTTCGTAGGAACAGCCCAAATTTAACACAAATTTAGGTATATAATTAGAAAGGGCACTGTAGTAAAAGAAAAAAACTTTCGAAGGCGCCTTTCTTGTTTCATGAGAGGACGAATAGTTTTTTCTGGAAGAAAAAGTTCAAAGAGAGCAATTTGTTTTTCGTGCAAGATGGAAAAAAACTCGTCAAGGTTGGCGGTTTAGTAAGACCTTTTGAACTTTAGGTAGGGACCGCAGGCCAATTTCCAAAGTCAGTTATATAAAGTTGAAACCTATATGAAAAGAAAGCTGATGGCAATCGAGAGCTAACTGCGAAAACAGAAAAGAAAAATATGAAAAAAATGAAAAAGTTATAAGCAAAAAAAGTGGCGAAATCAGGGGAACCACTTTTTGTGTAGAAACTTTCGTCAGGGTCGCAGAAAAAAGGGACGTGTTTATAAATGCCGTGCGCTCCTTGCTGTGCGTTAATTCACGCAGGAGACGTTTTCGAAAAACATATTTATTTGTGTTTTTAGAAGTTTTAAATGAAATATTAGAGTTTTCATATTGAATATTGCTCTTTTTCAATATCAGCCTACTCTTCAAGCACTCACGCTGCTGAAAAAGCAAGTTTTTGAAGAAGGTTTCAATGCATTTCGTAAAAAGAAAAATAACCGACAAAATAGACCTCTGCGAAGGACTAACAGCATTAAACCGAATTGAAAATGTAACAGTCTACTAAGAAATTTACTGAAAAAAATATGTAAATAATCACCAAGTCCTTTTTTTCAGAGAGTTTTAAAAAGGGGCGAAAACGTTTTTACTTTTGATTTTCTACTTCTTTTATTTTTTTCTCTAAAGTTCGTGCGTCTACATGGAGTGTACGTAGACAATTTTTTAGAATTCTTTACTTGACATTCCGAAAAAGTTCAAAAAAAGTTGAGTAAAAGCGAAATTTAATACTTTTCTCGCTGCTATAATGGATATAATGATATAGGAAAAAAAGATTTCAATTATGAAATGAGTAAAAAGCAACTATAAAGCCACAATAAAATGAGAAAAAACTTGAACAGAATACATAAATAGTTTAAAAAAACCTTCTTCACGCTTTCGAAAAAAATTTCGTGGCCTTCGCGGTGTCTGCAGATTTCCAGCGACGCGCAGTTTTAAAAATAACTTTCGAGCGTTTAAATTAACCATACTTTTCAGGGCCATCCTAGGAATTTTTTTATTTTTTTGATATGTTGTAGAAATGTCTAATGTTTGATATTATGAAATAAAAAACTTGCCCAGAACGCTTTGGGCCGTTTTCAAGGCGTTACGAAAAAACCGAAATTTTAAGCTTTCATATAAACTATATAATCGATGAAAAACTTAGTTTTCTATTTTTAAAATTTGCAAACAACTGCAAACAACCGTTTAAAAATATAATCAGTAATTATCGATCGCGTTTTTTTCGAAAATAAGGAATTTCGAAAAATCGTGATTTTCAAATTGCGTTATTTTTTTGAGGCCAACCATAGAATTTTTCTTATTTTTTTCCCAGAATATGCGTTTTTAGTTGCTTTATGATATTCAAGAATAAAAAGTTGCCCAGAAACTTTCAAGAAAAAAACAGGGATTTTTATCCGTTTTCGGCCACAAATGCGTTTTAAAAACTGTCGTCATACATTCATATTTCTCATTTTTTTCAGTATTTTCTTTTTATGTAGGATTGTTAAGCATAGCCGATTGTATGTTTCCCCCAATTTTTTTCTCAAATCGGTACAAGAAAAACTGTTTTAAAATATAAAAAGAACCAAAAATGCAACGAAAAATGACGAAGTTTTTTTGAACAGCGAAGTGGGCGTGGCTCTGCGGTCCCTAACTTTAGGAATCAAAAAAAGTGTGATTTACATTTAATTTTTTTGTTTTTTTCGTTAAAAAGCCAAAGGTTCTCATTATTAATTTAAAAAAATTTAAAAAGTAGTCAAACGACTGGAGAAAACCCGCATAAAAACATTTTGTTTGGAAAAAGTATTAGTGATAAAGCGTTTAGTGAAGTGGGCTCAATATATTCCTTTTTTGGCTGCTCTGGGGAACTCTTCGTAATGAAGCTATAGCCAATCGGGAGACTAGCTTCTGAGAGCGGCTAATTGAAATGGCTGAGTCAAGCCAGAAAAAGGAAATTTTGAAGAGAATGGCTTGAACGTATGTGAAAGAAGAGACTGTGCTTTAGAAGCATTTTTGGAAAGATAGAATTTGGATCAGAAGACAGGAAAAAACAAACTTGGAGCGGGCAGATTTGGCGTCGGCGAAGACAGCGAGAGCCAGAAAGGCCAGAAGCGTCGGAAGTCGTCGGAGAGCGCTCATTTCTGAGTTGATGTCTTTGGATTACAGCTCAACTACTTTTATACTTGTAGTTTGCTGATGGACGGTAGGAGCGTGGGAAGTGGGCGGAGCCTGGCTGACCTCGGCGACTCCGCCTCCGCTGGTCCAAACGAGTTCCTTGCGGTCAGTCCGGCCGGAAAAGACAGCCAAAAAAGTACGACACGGCGCGTTGTCGCTGAATGAGCCTATTGGAAGCGTCTAACGGGTTTCGAATATATATCACAGGTGTTCGAAAACTAATTGGCGTTGGTCCCACCCGCGCTAGGCGTGGGCCGCGCCGTGTATCATCCAAGGAACTGCAACAAAAAGAGTGGAACATTGCAAATTATCCGATGAAAAAAGTTGAGAAGTTTCGACGACTTTTTTTGAAAAACAAAAAAGAAAATATTGAATTAAAACTGGAGAAACAAACGGAATTCTGTTTTATGAATAATTACCCTGATTACGATCTCCACGTTGCCCTCCCGCAAATTGAAGTTTCTTAACTTCAGTAGATTGAAGCAGTAAATCACGAACATTTTTTTATTTTTTTCAAACTCAATCGATGTTCTGGAAAATTTTCAGGTCGTATTTGCAAAACGAAGACAAAGGCGAAAAGTCTTTCTTTAACCTTTCTGCAAGATTTTTCAGTCGGAAATTCTTCTGAGTTCTTCACTTGACTTCGCTAATACTAAATGTCCTGTATCTTTTATACTTTCCTCTACCAAATCAGAATCTTTTCTGAATATTTCCCTTAGGGAACTCTTTTCCCCACAATTTTTTTTCTGTTTCGAGAATACGCCTTGGACTTTGTCTGAACATGCACTTCTGGCGCTATGAAAGTCGCATTTATAGCCCATTCCTGTCATTTCAGGCCTCCTTTGCTAGTTCCAGACTAACTTTAAGAGGTGACTTTTCACGCAGTTAGACATATTTGATCAAAAACCACAATGAAAGTGTACGAGAAACGTTCTATCATATTCTTTTTTTTCTCCTTCTCCAAAAGTTGCGTTCTGGAATCTTCTCAATGAAAAAGTCAACGGAAACGGAGTGCGTTTTGTAATAATCCTTGCTGAAAATTCGTTTTTTGATTTCTCAGCCCGCAACCTGGGCCGTCTGGCAAATTTATCACCTTTTTTTTCATAAGTTCTTGTTCGAGCTATCTGAATCATTCACCACACCCAATATTCCTCTTCCGGAAAGAAAGAGAACTTCGCAAAGTTTGTAGAGTCGTTACGTGACATTTCTCTGGTTATAATTGAACGTTTGGTTCAATCCACGCTTGGACAAAACAGGCTATGTTCTTGAAATATAAATATTCAAGATAATTTCATCTGATAATATCAAAGAACTTTTCGGTTCGTTAAAAGTTTTTCAAGTGCGATAACCACTAGATCTCCTTCTCCTCCTCCGAACATTCACAAGGCAAACTTAACTTCCATTAACCTTGTGAAAAGGTCAAAGAAATTACTGGCCTTTCATTTCAAAGTTCTAATTTTCCAAAGTTAAGAAGATTTCTATCGAGTAACTACTTGCAGAATCGAGTTATGATGACCCAGAAATGAGACAATTAGAGAAGAAATCTGGTCGGCGTCAGGCTTCATCCATTTCCGAACGTCTTCTGGGATGTTTGCCATCTTCCCGTGAACATCATCGACCGCGACCTCGAAATAGCCGCCTTCTGTTTGTTTCCGACAATCCTTGAACTGGAACGCTGCTCAGGATATGCTTGAGTCACAGACTGACCGAAAAAAAACGACTGTACTGGTTCCTTTTATTTGTCGAAACGTTATTAGACTTCCATACCAGTATTTTCTTCATCCACCGTTAGCCTGTTGGAAAAATTTACTGGAGATTATTCTATTCTTACGACAAATACTCTGAAAACCATTTTGAACCTTCTTCTTTAAAAGTCGCTGAACTTTCATATGTATATTAACTCAAACCACCCTTTTTCGCGTTTTGAAACATACCCCCGTTTTACCGTTGAATACGCCATAATAAGAGCTTTCACGCCTTTTTAGTTATATTCTCTGCTATATTAGGAGTTCCATTACAAAAGCGCTAAACAAAACTTTAACAGCAGTGTGAATTTGATTGTTATTGTGTTGACAAACTCGTTCTAGTCGCAGTGTCTTAAAATAATTTTTTTATTACACCATAGAATGCTTCACTAATAAATCTACTCCACATCTATTTTTTAAGAATTAATAAACGTAGTGTAATTTCGACGGAAGCGCAATTATTCATACTTTGAAAAGCATCTTATAATCGGTTGCTATGCATACGAGTTTTTCATTGGTTTCGAAGATTATTGTTGAATTGGATGGGGCGCGGCGTGGTGGACCGGCTCTGGTTTCGTCTTCAGTCCAGTGAGCAGCGACTTGATCTCGCCGATAGCCTTGGCTGGGTTCAGATGCTGCAAACCTCCCATGGTCGAGCAATCCTCTATTTTACTAAGAAAAACAGCCATGACACGATTTTATCGGCTGATAGGATAAAAAGGAAGAATATAGTTCAAATTTGAAGCGTTGTTCTGGCTAAAAGGCAAAAACTGAACTTATTTACAAAGTTTTAAATTAAAAAAAGCGTGAGATTGAGTCTTCCGCGGACTAAAATAATTTGATTCGTTTCAAGCCTTTAAATTAAAAAAATTGCTTTATTTGTATCAAATGTGTTCAAACAGTCGATCTCTAAGGATTCCTCGTTAGAAAATTTTTTTTGAAAAAAAGATCCGTACGATCCAGAGCCCCAAAAAAACTACACCATATTTTCAATTTTCAATAAATAAATTTTCAAATCAATTATTACCCTTTCTTCGAAAGAAAAATAATCATGAAAAACAAACCTTAGGACAAGTCTTGGTGCAATTCATGATTGTGTGGCATTTGAAAGCGGAGAAAGAGTCGTGCATGCGATGAAGACGTTCCTTGGCAAAGTCGTCACGGGAATCGATGATCCATCTTAACAAAAAGAAGTTATAAGAGTTGAAAAATTAATTTGGAGAATATTAAAATATTGAATAACTTATTCTCGACCAAGATTCCTGAGTTTTAATAAAATTGCAGCAAATTCCTCAAAATAGAAAAATATCATGAGAAAAATAGCTTTGTGTTTTTTTTTTTACATTTTAAAAAGCATCATATTTGGTTGAGTAAAATGAATGTAACATCAGAAAATGAAACTCGCTTACTCACAATATTTTTTGAGGAAATTTTGATTGACTACCTGTAGGCCTGCATAAGAACAGCTGGACCGAGATATTTATCGGCGTTCCACCAATAGGAAGGGCAAGAAGTTGAGCAACAAGCGCACAGAATGCACTCGTAAAGACCGTCCTGCAGATAGTCTTTGAATTTCGAACAATTTCTCCATCCTACCAAGCGATCTCTCTCGGCGACACTTTGATGCAGCTGATTTTCGCCCAATGTGATTGGGGTCTTTTTCTGGAGCCACGGCTGGATTGAAGCGTACTGAGCGTAGAACAGGTTCATGTCCGGAACAAGATCCTGCGAAAAAATAGTTATAAAAGAGACGAAACGGAGGCTAACAAAATTTATTTGAGAAATCTTGTGAATTTTAACATACATGATCTTCTGTCTCTTGAGGTGAATTTAAAAAAAAGGTTTTGAGAGGAAAAGGAAATTGTTTCGGACATTTAAAATAATCACACTTTAACAAACTTAAATTCAAAGTTCACAAATACTGAACGTGTGATTTATTCCTCTTTTTAGCTTCACATCGATGAAGAAAAAATACTCACCTTGACGACGTACATATGGGGCAGAGGGTAAATGTTGGTCGTTTTCGAGGTGTCGCTGTCGATCTTGCAAATGCAAGCCAAAGTGTTTTGTCCGCCAATATTCATAGCGCAAGAACCGCAAATTCCTCAATAATTTAGATATATAATCAGAGATTTACTAATATTATTTTTTAAATAATTGCGAGCTAGGTTGATTCATCAAAAAGATAAGAAAATGCACACCTTCGCGGCAACTTCTTCTGAATGTGAGAGTAGTGTCCGTCTCGTTTTTAATCTTGATGAGAGCGTCCAAGACCATCGTTCCACACTGATCCAAGTCGACGTCAAACTTCTGTATAAGAAAGTATAAACTCAATAAAAAAAAGCAACAATCAATTTTCTAAAAAAAAACGGAATTTCTACTGAAAAGAAAGCGGAAAGCTATCGTACTTGCATGTACGGCTTTCCACCAGGAATGTCTGGATTGTACCGGTAGATGTTGAAAGTCTTAACGCGCTTTCCTTTTTTCGGAGCGGTAGCAGCGGAACCTGAAAAAAATGATAATAACATTGGATTTATTTTTAATCCGTTTGAAAATGAAACTTTATTGTGAAAAAAATTAACCTGAAGCAGCACGGCAAGCCGTGAAGGCAGCTTCTGTGGAATGGACGAGAAGCGCAGAGCGGGCCAGCATCTTGAAATTGTTTTGAAAATTAAAATTGAAGCATTATTTGTTAGAACAAAAAATCTTAACATTTTCTTACGCCCCCTAATGTTTGATTTTAAGTTTTGGTAAACTCATATAAACGCATGAAAACTGAATCGAGCGACCGAAAAAAAAAGTTGAAAAAAAATTGTAAAATATTGAACAATCGCTAAATCTTCAATAATAGCTTTTAATGATTCCGCTTACAAATAAGAGCCTACTGCATCAACAACCTTACAAGATCTGAATCATTTTTGATTGATAGGAAACTCTCAAAATCTAATTAAAGAAGTATTACGAGAAAAATCTATTAAACATATACCAAACGTAACAAAAAAAAAGCAATAAAAGGAGTCATTATATATATTTAAATTTTTACACGTTATTCTCGGAAGCGAGAAATTTTTGCCTTAGAGAGTAAAGGAACATAGCTTGTAAATATTTTCTGATTGAACACAAAAGAGCGACTCCTTTAAATCGAAATATTAGAAATGAAACGCCACGATAGAAAAAAAAAACAATAAATAAGAGCCCCGTAAAATGGACGTGACCTTGAACACAACGACACTCCAAAGAACGCTCATAACCGTCAACGGAGCATCGTACCATTTTCATTTCAATTTTTTTTTCAAATTTTTTGGAGAAAAAAAATTATTAAGCTTTTCATTGTCGTGCTTAAATATCTTTCCGCTAAGTTTGATTGTTAAAACTCAGTTATCTTTTGACTCTTGGACGTCTATTTTTAATAGAAGTCCAAGAGTCAAAAGATAACTGAGTTTTTTGTGCAATTCAAACCGGCCAATTTTTACTTTGCGCATTTTTGTTATAATTAGCAATCTTCAGGAATGTTCTATGTATTCTTGTGTTTCATTTTCTTTTCTCTAACGTCTTCTGAACCAAATACTATTGAGATGTCTCCTACGACGGATGATCCATGGGATTTGGATGGTCCTTGCCAGATTTACGTCGAAGTTAGTAAGCAATTTCGAAGTGAGTAGGTCTGAGCTTTAATTCTTGTTTAGAAGTTTGCAATTGTACAATCTGAAATGGTCAGATGCGCGTCCAATTGGTCGATACCACCAAAAGTTTGCACCAATTGCTTTTCACAGTATATCAACTTTAAACAAGTCGAATGGGAAACGAAAAATCTGGTGAGCTATTCTGTGTTCTTCAGAAAAAGGACTTCTTTATCATCACATATTTTAGAATCATGTTTTTTCTTTGGATAATCGCACATGTTCTCAAGTCATCTATGATAACTACCTGCTCTCATACAGTACCGATATTTCGGTGGCTCTCACGCAGAGAATATGGGAGCAATCGAGATGTGACTGTGAGTTGAAACCAGCTCTCGAAACATTTAGAAGGAATCATAATGTCCATTTCAGCTTGCTTGAAAATAAACTGGGACTTTGAGAAAAATAGCTCAGGAGTCGTTTTCAACGATCGAACTCTTCAATTCCAAGTATAAGTTCGAACTATTTAAATAATAGATTCCAGATTTTCTTTCTAGATTTTGAATTGGTTCCTTTGTTTTGGCAAAATCCGAAATATTTGTTCAGAGCAAGCTGTATGACTGGCGAAATTGCGTTGTAAACTACACATCTGGAGATATTTTCGAAGACGTCTGTTTGAATTTTACATCATATTGCTTGAACATTCCGTTTTGCAGATTTCCAACGAAACACAGATTTGCAGTCTGTGCAACAGCACTTTTGATGATTTGTTCAATTTTTACTGGAACATCTATATTGATCCTACGACCGATTTTTGCGTAGATGTTGAAACTACGGTATATTCATATGGTTTTATGTGTACTTTTTTTTCGCTTAATTCAGATGAACGATACCCTTCATTTGTGGAACGACGTTTGGAAATGCGCAGAGAGGCAAGATAGGTGAGTCTGTGCCAAGTTTTTTTTTTCCAAAAAGGTATGCTGAATTCCATATTTTGAAGACAGAAGATCGAGAAGATATTGTATGAAAATCTAGTTTCAAGCATGAAAATCCTTAATTCTTTTTATAGAGAAAAATTCAAAGTTTTCGGCTTACAGTTTTTTTCAATCTGATCTCTTCTTTCTTCAAGTATTATATCGATGATAAAAACAAATCTTCACTGAAATTACCGATACTTCAGGAACCGCGATCTCGTTTCTGTTCTCATAACACTATGTGTGTTATTGGTACTGACCGCGTTATTTTACACGGCGACCTTCATTCAAGGAGGAGGAAAAGCACGCAATCTCATCAGATGTGAGTTTTGCTTTTAATTTAATGTATTTCATTTTAATGGTGATTTAGACTCGCGAATGGCTCCGCCCAGAGGCACGAGGTCGCGACTGCTCACCGGTTCTTCTGAAGCCCATTTCGGATCCTCGTATTCTACAGTTAACACATTTCCTCCTATTTCTTCCAGTTAATCATATTTTTCAAGAACAAAAAGCCTATTTATCATAGAACTAACGTGTAAACTTCTCAATCAAAGTAGCTTGCAATATGTAAAAAGACGGATAGATTTTCCCCGAACGGCTCTTTCAATCGGGTTACCTTTTTTCATTCCTATTTCCATGTCCTTGAAGTTGTTATGACAATAAATAATTTTTTTACAATGTTTATCACTTTTAAAAATCGTTTTTTTGGCTATTGTTCCAAAAATAATTTCTACTGATTTTTTTATCCGTTTCTAGTATTATTTTTACAATCAAAAAATTTTTTTTTGGGTTTTCGGAATTTCGAAATTTATTCTTAGCGATATGAATTTGTCTCCTGACTGCGACCGCATCTCCTGTAATTAATTCATTTAAGAAGTTGGAACGGATAATAGGCAAAGAGAGACTTGGTTTCTCATGCCGTGTTCAAAGTAATTTCAGCGAAATGCAAAATGATCTCTGACTCTCCAAAATTTAGTGATCTTTTCCTTTCTCTAACGGGTATTTTGCATTTCGCGGAAATTACTTTGAACACGGCATCAAAATATCGCACACAAAAAGGTGGAGATGAATTTTAAATTTTCTGACCTGATATTATGTCTAACCTATTTACAGACAAATGATCTTTTTTTCCCGTTTTCTTTCCTTTTGAGCCAATCTTTGGCCTGTCGTAGGAATGAACTCTATTGCACAAAAACTTAAGGTTAGTTAATTCCATAGGATAGTTTGCAGCATCATACCTCATGGACAAAAATCCAATAGGTCTTTTTTGGCTTTGATCAGAGTGCTCTAGAGAACATTCCAACGAAGATTTATCAAATTTTTTTGAATAATGTTCATTTTCATATTTCCTGGTTGAATGTATACATTGTAATATATTTTTTTAAAAACGTTCTTTTTTTCTTTTTTTGCTGATATTCTTTCATGTGGTTCAGTAATCTGATGTGCAGAAAAAGGTTTTAACTAAAAAAAAAAGAAATGAGAATAATAACTATTTTTTTGCACTTGGTATTTTCAGAAATTATTTTACCTGCAAATCTGTCGAAATTTATAAGATTTTTTTAGTCCAAGAGAGCACTCCTCGAAATCTAATCTTCCAAGATTTAAAAATTTTTTTCTTCGTTAATAAATCAGGAAACGCTAGGCTATTTTGATTACTTGATCTTTCTAATAACGGTCTGATGCATCTCTTCAACTCCAAATACATTCTAAGAACTAGCAATCTTGCAAAAAAAAAGAACGTATCAAAAACGTTCATTCTATGAATAAGGCGCCCGTTTAATGATAAGGATCAACTTGCTCTTTCGAACCCATTATGACTTCTTCGAGATGGATCCACTGAGAATCTCGTCTTTACCGTGCTCCTTGCGGCAAAGATGCGTAGGACAGTCCCTCGGAAACACTTGTCTCAGGTGATTGTGTAAGTCATTAGAGACACATGCTTCCGCCACGGGTTTCCGCACGTCGCAAAGCACTTCTTTTGCATCTAAGTCCCATGGCGACTGTTTGCTTAACACACATTTTTCGGCGAGGCGCCCACTGTGCAATTTTCCCGAGGACTACGCGTCTTGAACTGCTCCGCCGCATCTCGCATTCGGATTTGAGAGGATTTGACCATGTTTTTTATCACAAAAAAAAACTGTTCACATGACAGACTTTTTTCATCAGAAAGGGTTCTGGCATTCAATGGAAGAAATGCCGTTAGTTTATGAAGGACTTTTTTAGTTAACCAAAGTAGGATCTGAGTTTTTGCACAGGGTGAACACATAAAAGTCCAGTGCTAGTGGAATTCCCAGTTACCGTATCAGTTTACTTAAGATTCCGTTTTTAGAAAATTTTTGGCAGTTCCAGTATGAAAAGTTGAAACTAGCTTTCGACTACATGAGTCGAGTTGACTCTTTGGTCTTATTTTTTATTAAAATGTGACCTTTTCGACGACTATATAATCTGTTTTCTTTGGTTTTCCTTTGAGTAGAGAAAGCATTTGATTTCTAAATTACCTTCATGTTTTCAGTATTTTGGTTTTTTTTTAGCTGTTTACTGACAGAGAAAAACCTTCTCAGGTAGTTCTACTCTTGCTGATTTTCCAATCGAGTTCTTATAAATTGTCATCTTCGGCTTTCCACTACTGTTTAGTTGGTTTTGGTGGACAGAATCTTGCAAATATAACTTCAGGAATAGGATCCGGCTAGATCGAATGAAGTCACTCAACAGTCTTTGCACTTCTCAAATCTCAATATTCCCAGCGGGATCCTTCGGGAAGACGGCTTCTTTTCCAATAAAGCCATTCAAATTAGGGACACAGCGCGGATGAACATAATATTGATAATGGAGATCAGGTCGACCCGAATCGTATAACGTTCTCCGGGATTCGGCGGCCATGGATTGACCATACTAAATTACACTCTCGACGTCGGCGATAGACGCAGAGACGCTTGTGTCTGTCTGTCTGGACACCGACAAGTTTCAAGTGCGCAGGTACCTCGCCGCACACCTTACCGAACCGACTCATCCTATCTCATCACTGTCCTCCCTTCAATGTCTTATGATCTCATCCACCGCCATCCCCCGTACTTCCTCCTTTTTTTCGCGGTTTCTCACGTTTTTTATTAGTATAGTTGACTCACTGGTGGCTCGGTCTTCACTGAAATACTCTTGAAAAAAAAAAACTAAATAATTGAGAACTAGAAATGAGCATGAATCTTGTTTATAAATGCGGGATACTTTTTTTATTCACTCTGGCAAACTAAAGATGCATGAAGAAAATAGTAATTAAGTTGGTATCTGTTGATTTTCAACTCTTAAATTAAAAAAAAGTAAACTGTTTTTTCTTTTGTTTTTTTGTTGTCTGACATAATATTTTTCTTTAAATTTTTTTTCAGTTTTATCAATTCACGATGAAAACTTGTGAAATATTTGAAATTTTTTTTTCTATTTCTTATCTCTGAAATTTCTTTTTTTAAACTCAATTTCACTTGATACCTGTTTGCGCTTTGTGTAAGCTCAGCTTTCCCTGTTCCGAAGTTTTACTGGCATCGATCTTTTGAACTGAAAAGTTGTCTTTTGCTTCAGCAACTTTGAATTCCATTGTTATGTTCATGGTTTTCGAACGCAGTATTTCAATTATGTCTAAATCAGTAGAATTTTGCTCTTTGTCGTATTTATTGCAGCTTTACGCAGCCAGAAAATGTGTTACACATTTCTTCTGGAATAACATAGATTATGTTTACGAACAAGCCGTACGAAATTTCGGAAATGTTTTTTTTTGCATTAAAATCATGGATCGTATGTGCGAAAAATGAATTAAGCAAACATCGAAACAATCAAATTGTCGTTGGAAAACACATTTGTTCCATTTTCGAGCACTTCAAGCTTTTAAATTTTTTTTTTCTCGCTATATAAAGCCTCCTTTCGATAGCAGACGCCTAGAAAGTTTATTTTTCTTAACGGCTGCTATTTTTTCAGTATTAAACTTATGTCGAATTTAAAAAAGACTGATTTCTGGTTTCTATTTTCGAATAGTTTTTTTTTCGATCAATAACACACGATTGATTGGTTTCGACATTTTTTTATTTTTTTGATTAATTCGACATTTTTTTAATAAGTTTTTTTGACAGTTTTATCAGCTCAAAAATCATAATTTATATGAATACTCTAAATGAATTATCTTCAGCTCAATTTTTTTTCCTAAATAAAAAAAAAGAGGAAACTGTCTATAATTCCAAGAAAAAAAAACGGTAGAAAATTGGTTTCTTCGAAACAAGTTTGCTTTTTATTTTCGAAGCTGTTAATTTTTTTTTCAAATTGTTTGGAGTGCCTTATCTTATAACTTCACGAAACCACCCATTTTGACGTCATAGCGTTATCAATTGAATGAATTTTATCATAAAAATATCAATTTTTGAGGGTCGTCTGGAGTCCTGAAAGATGGGCCGCGAGGACGACGAAGACGATGCCATCATGCTGCAGGCCAAGCAGCAAATCACCAACAACGTCATCACTAAAAGAAAGGTTATTCATCAAAAAAAGACAATCGATTCGCGCCGGAAGTTTTCGTGCTTCTTTATCATGTACCTCGTTATCTTTACCACCTCTTCGTTGCTCCGAAAGCTTCATTTTACTCTTTTTGTGGCTTCTCGAATCATTTCCTTCTTTTTTTTGTCTTTGTGAAGGGTGGCCCTTTCATGTTTTTCACCATCCTTTCTGATAGTGCTATCAGCTGTAATTTCACTCGTTTCGACGAAAATAATACTTTCGAAGAGCATAAAGAATTTTTCAAAAAAGATGAGAATACTCCAATTATTTCATGAAATAAGAGGCTTTTTTTGAATTTTGCAAAAATTAAAAAAACCAAATATGAAAAACATTCGAAATTTGAAGTTCGCGTTTTTTTAAATTGTTTTACCAAAAAAATACTGAATAAACTTTCAAGAAATGCTATGTTGGTTTTTTTGAAAATTGAAATATTTTGGAAGGACTTTGAAAGATTTGAATTTTTCCAAGTTTTGGATTTACTCGATTAGATCTTTTTTTGCAAAGACCGAAATTTTTTTGGCATAGAATCAAATTTCATACATTGAATTTTTTTAGATAAATATTGAAATTTTTTTGTTGATCACGGAAAAGTTTGAAAGGAAAAACACTAAATATGTTTGTTAACTTTCTCGAATTTTTTTCTGTGTAGTTAGGCTACCGAAAACTATTTTTTCTTCTTTTCTTGGCAAAATTATTCCGGCGAAACGGCGCTTTTGCCGTCGGTTTTCATCTTTTCCAGCCAAATCGTGAATCATCCAAACGCGTTTTCAAAACGTTCGCCTTGCCTTGTTTTAATTTCTCGTTTCTAGCTGGCGTTCAAATGTTAACAATGACTTGTTTTTTTTTCTCTTCCTTTCTCGTTTTTTTTCTCTATATGTTTTGAAGAGGCTGCGTGGAATACGTATTCGTTTTATTTTTCACGCTGAACTAGTGAACTCTTCATTTGAACCGAGATTGGAGATAATTAATTTTTTTTTAAGTATATTAGTTTTTTGAAATGTTTTTAAAGGAATATAAACAAGGATCAAGTTGATTTGTTATTATTGTACTATTGTGTTAACGGTTTTACATATTTCATGTTGAAGTATCCAATAATTAGCTGTTCTTTTTATACTGATATTGCTAGTACTTTATAAAAATACAATCAGTATATCAATAGTTCAAGATTATTTGTGCTTTAAGTAGTTACGTTGTTCTGTTCTCGTTGATGAAAGTTTTGTTCTCTCTCAAACAATCGCTCAAATTTTTTTCAATGGGACAACTGTGCGGCTGAAAAAAAAAATATGACGCGGATCAGCTCTTTGAAGAGTTCTTCGGGATTTTCTTTTACGATTTGAGCGATTTTTCAGGAGCAATTGCGGCGTTGGCAGAGCAGCGAAATGAACGGCGAATCGTCGCGGCGTAACAAAAAGCCTCGTGTTCAGTTTCAGGTTGGAATTATCTTTTATTCACTCAAAAATGGGATTTTTTTCAGGACAGTGACATTTTTCTGAGCGCTTGCATGTCCGGCGACGAGGAAGAAGTGGAAGAATTGCTTTCCAAAGGCGCCGACATCAATACCTGCACGATCGACGGCCTCACTGCCCTTCACCAGGTTATATTCCCAATTTCCCGATTTTTCAATGTTATTGAACTCAGCTTCCTTCTTGTTTTTCGGGTCCGAAAGTTGAGTTTCTAAATTTGTCTAATGGTAGTTTATGTTTTGAATTTGGAGACGTTCTAAGAATTGCACTTTACAACTTTTGAATGAACCCAGAAGTTGAGTTTCAAAGTGTTATTTAAAAAAGAAAGCCGTTTTTTTTTTTTGCTTCAACATTATTCGCTTATTACTTTTTTCTAGCTGTTTTAGGGCTCTGCCGGTCTCTCCTGTTTTTTATCGATTGTTTTTTTTTCTTTGTGTGATGTTTTGTTTTTACATTTCTCTTTTGCTCAATTTGATATTTCCTTCACCATAATTGGACTTTAGATAGGCTCGGCTTGTAAGCGAATTGGCAGAAAAATCCGAAAGAATCGATTATCAAATTAAGTATTTCCATTCATTCAGCTCTCTGTATTTTCAAAAAAGTTTTTATTTTTATCGCTTAATGCAATTAGGTAACTCATGATTTACAGTCAGTGATTGATTCGAAGCCGGATATGGTGAGGTTTCTGTGCGAAAAAGGCGCGGATCTGAACGCGCAGGACAACGAAGGCTGGACGCCGTTGCACGCGGCCGCCTGCTGCGGAAACGTCTCGATTGTGCAGTACCTCTGCCAGAAAGGAGCCGACCTCACCATCGTCAACAGGTCTCCTCTCAAACAATCTCAATAAATTTTCCCGATTTATAATATTTGAAAAATTTGTCGTGATAACTGCGTACTCCGGAAAAAGTGAAATGAACGTTTTCAGTGACAAGGAGCTGCCGCTGGACCTGGCGGACGACGAGCAGTGTCGTGACACCCTCGAGAAGAACTACGAGAGGCAGAAAATCGACGTCGAGGCTTGTCGCGACCGAGAACTCGCCACGATGATGCACGACGTCCAGACGTGGATCAACGTCGGCGAGTACCGGTTCGTTTTGCGCTTTTTCTTGTTTTCAAAACTCACTTGATTTGAAAAAAATGTACAGAGTCTAGATATTTTCTGAAACGAACCGTTTTCGATGACTTAGAACAGTCAGTTCTTTAACTTTCTGAAAGAGTGCGAGTCCAAAAAAAAGTCTTTTGTTAATGTTTCTCGCGCTGTTTCACGAGAAAATTCGTTGATACGCATGTACGTTTTTTTTTTTAGTTATCTGCTCATTAAGTGTAATTGTTGATGATAAAATTAGAAATTTGGAATACTCATAATAAAAGGGGGAAATGACCTCCTAGAAAAAAGTTCCAAAAAAAAAGGCGTCCACATATTAACTAGATGGAGAAAGTGATGTGCACCAATTAATAGTGTCGTTTGGACCATCATTGTTGTTTTTTTTTGTCGTTGTAAATGAGTTTTCGACGCGGGGTAATTGGAGAAAATGAAGGGTTTCGGTTTTCAGAGACGTTCCGCACGTGCGAACAGGTGGCACGGCGATGCACGTCGCGGCGGCTCGCGGCTACACTCAACTGCTCGAGCTGCTCGTCAAGGCCGGCGGCAACGTTCATGCCCGCGACAAGGTTTCGAAACATCGGATTCGGTGTTTTTGAAAAGGATAAAGGCGGAAAACAAACATTTGCCCTAGTTTTGACGTCTGGAGCTTTCTTTCTTGAAAATGAAGCCGTCAAAAATTAAAAAGTAACAAACGGCGCCTATTTCATGAACAATATTTTTTCAACTTGTTCGAAAAACAGTATGCATTTTCACAAACCTAGACATTTTTTAGATTTATTTGAAAAAAGTAGTTTTTTTTTTCGCAATCTTGATAAACTTATTTTTGACACAATCTGTTCCAATTCCAAAATTTTTTACACAGATGCATAATAATGAGACCTGTGACCTCAAAAAGAATGTAGGTTGACTGCACAGGGCCGCTTGTGTGCCTCCGTACACGCTATGAAAGGAACATCATATTTTATTTTTGAGTGTGAATTATATTTTTTGACTTCAGGATGGATGGACTCCTCTGCACGCGGCCGCCCATTGGGCCGAACGAGACGCCTGCAAAATTCTGATTGAGAACAACGCCAGCGTCAGTGACGTCACTTTCGCGGTCAATTTCCATCCTTTCGGAATATTATTCAAGATTTGTTCTTCGACAATATTGAAACTGAAAAAAACTGAGAATTTTCTAGATAGCTATCAAAAACAATAAGGTTGTCATGAAGGTAGTTCAACTTGTGCTTTTCAGAATCAAGACGTTCTGGCCGTTGCCGACAAAGAAATAGTCGAATACTTGGAGGAACTCGCCGCAGCCCAAGCCAAAAACGACAGACGGAAATCGCCGTCGGTCCCTGTTGCTGTACTTCAGGTTTTATTCCTCATTATTCTTTCTCAATTATTTCTTTAGGATAAAAATCATCGATCTTCGTCGCATGAGGAACATATCATTTCCGCGGAGAAGAAGAAAGAAATTCAGCACAAAGACCAGATTAGGTTGGTTGTTTTTTTGAATTTTTTTCCAAAAATTTCTCTAAAATTTTCAAGAAAAAAATTCTCTTCTGACCTATCAATTTTGGCTCGAATAGGTTTCCAACACATGCCTCTTTTTTTCTCAAATGTTTATATAAAAATGTTTTAGGAACTGTGACACTGAGAAATAGTGACTTTCAAACGATAAAAAAAAATAATTGAATCCGCAGCTAGCGAGAAAAATGAAAACTTTGAGAACTTTGTAAAATTTTAAAAAATACATCGTTTAACACCAATTTTAGGAAAATAAAAAGTGAAAGCCACATGAATGAAATCCCTATAAACTGCATTTTACAGTGAAAACGAGATTCTGCACAAGGCGCCTGCTCCGAAAATGGCAGAGTTCAGCCCTTCAAGGGAATCCAGTTCTTCGGCGACCACGGTCGAAAAGAAAAAAATTGCGGATATCGAGAAAAGATCTCCATCAGAAAACAGCCGATCTTCAGTGGAAATCTCGCCTCTTCGTTCTTCCGTCGAAAAAAGTCCCTCCGTTCCAAGGTCTGTCCGGTTTTCTCTGGTGTACCTTGTTCAAGATTTGGATTTTCGAGTCGATGAAAAATATAAAAAAGATAATCTGGACACCAATATCGATTAATTTCAGATCAGTGGACCTGAGGTCAAGCGAACGGGAGAGCACGTCGCGCGAGTCTTCGCTGGAGACGCGAACGTCTGCGACAGCGTCGACGGCTTCTTCGGCGGCAGTCGACCGCTCGCCGACGTCTTCGCAGAACTCGCAACGCTCCGTCTCCCTTCCTCCTTCAGCTTCTCCAACAACCAACGAGTCGCGATCCTCAGCAGTTCGTGTTTGCAACATGATTGAAGATTTTTTTGGAAACACAAGCCTCAGTCTACCGATTTTATACTTATCTTATTTTCAAAAAGATATTTATATATGTATTGAAATGTATTGAAGCCCGACAACTACCTATTTTGTTTGAGTTTTCCCGATTGTTACCATAGAACTCCTTCAAATAATATCAGTCATCTCAATGCTAAAAACAATTTTTTGGCAATAATATGGCCCCTAAAATTAAGCACAAACTACTAGTTTCGCAAAAGAACGTTTTGTAGAGGTTTTCTTTTGCGATTATTCCAGCATCAATATGATTTTACGATACATTTTTATTAAGATTTTTTAAAAACTAGACCGAATCCTTCAGGAGTCGTCCTCGTTGCAAAGCGGAGACCAGGAAGTTTCGGCGACGCTACCCATGGTTCCCCCGCCGCGAGCCCTCAATCAATCTGCCAGTTCTTGGATCAACCGCGGCGTCCAACTCATTTCCAGGTGACTCCGAGTTTCAACTATCTTTTCTTTTGATTGAGCCCGCTGCTTTTTCTATCCGCTTTGCTTCCTGTCTGCCCATTCAGGCGCTTTTTCGTGTCTGGCCAGTGAATCTCCTTGTGTTCAGAAGCACTTCTTCGTCGAGATCAGGCACCAGCTCTGCTTCTGGATCCACGGAGCCGTCGTCGACGCCGCCGCCTTCTGCCACCGTGCAGCCCATCGTGACTGCGAGCTCTGCGACCACGTCTTCGGTTCCTTCGTCGGCGACGCCTCCAGTCTCTGCGAAGCAGTCGCCGTCGCCGGCGGGTAGCGTCTCTGTCACGGCTACCTTCACTCGACCGCCGTGAGCTTTTTTTTTCGCTTTCCCCGCTGCATGTGCCTGCCTCCTCCTACATTTGATTGGTCTCTAAAATACCGTTCAGCCTTTCTAAACTGGAAGAAAAAAGAATAAGGAGTTCGCTTCTTTCTATGTTTTCCTAGACGTTTTCATTATAAACACCGTTAGCTTAAGTAATTCACATATGGTCTGTTTAAAACTTTCGCTGGGGTGTTCAAAGGAGAAAAAAAAAATACAGAGGGACCATAGCGAATACGGCTTTCACTTTGGAAATATTAATTTTTTTAGAGGTCTTGCAGAATTATAAAAGCTTCTTCTCACGACAATCATTTCATCATTTCCAAGATGAAATTCCTAATTTATTTCTCTCAAAAGTTTCAAATCAGCATGGGATCAAATTTATGCGGCAACTTGATGGATTCCGGGCGAGAAACGAATTTTAAAAAAATTGAATTTAAAAAAATTGTCTTTTTATTTTCGCAAGGTTTCGTGATGTGAAAGAAAACTGAAATTAGAATATGGTAATGGTCAAAAATTTATCTATCCTCAAATCGTAGGTTTTTATGTGTGAATGAAAAGAGAGCGAGTTTTACAAAAACGATTTTCAATAGGTTTTAGTAATTTTACTATACTAATATACTAAAAACTAGACCAAAAATATAGTAAAGTTGGAATCACCCAAAAATTTAAGCAAATGGATTTGTGCGTTTGAAAATCAAAGGAAAGGCATTCCAACTACCACCTGGAACCCATCAAGTCGTGGCGAATGGGTTATAAACGGCTTTTGAGAGGTCAATATTTCCTCCAAACGTAATTGTGAAGAGTTGTCTGTGTTTTGTCTGTCCTGCATGCCGAATGTCCTGTCGAGAGTCTCATGTCGTGTGGTTCAGTCCGCCCGGAATATCGCAGCCGACCGTCCTCCGGTCCTCGTCTATCCCCACCAACCTGCCGTGGGCCTCGCTCTGGAACAACGTCAATAATTCGTCGCATGGACATCTGCGAGCGCACATGACGCCGCATCAGCAGCAGTTGCGACTGAACACGTCGCCGTCGATTCTGACGTCTTCGCGGATTTCCTCGGCCTTCCGACCACTTCAGAAGAGCAGCTCGGCGTTGCCACCGCCTGCGACGTCTTCTGCGGCCATCAATGAATATCCGCGGGGCTTCCAGCCCCAACAGATTAATCCCATCAAGATGAGGTTGATATTTTCTTTTTTGTTTAAGTCTGGGTCGTTCTGTCCTTTTTTGTTTTATGTCTATTGATTTTTCATTTGAAATCTTGAGAGTCTCTCAAATTATTTAAAAGTCTGCATTTTACGCGAATTCATTTACAACAGTACAATAGTGAGAAATAGACCTGTTAACGCTGAGAATAGCTAGTCGCACTCATGCTTCCATTTTTTTAACCATATGCGAACACGTAAGATTTTTTGAATACACCTGAATTCCATTGAAAGCTGAGAAAATTTCGTTTTCTTTTTACGTTAAATGTTGTGTGTGCTTCGCTTTTTGTGTTGCTCCATCGTATGTCAGAAATTTTTTTGTTATTGTTAGCTACCGTCTTCTCTGCCATTTATTTCTTCTTTCCTTTGCTAAGGCCAAGCGCCGAAAGAAACAAAATTCAACGGTAGCATTTTGCAGCCGGTGGCAGTCGAAAACGGTGACGGAGAGCGAGGCGGAACGACGCAACAACTCTCGGATGCAAAGGCAGCACCGACGCTCCACCCAGGGCGTCACAAAAGTATTTTTCCTTCCAAATTTGCGTGTTCTAAAGATTGGTTGTCTGCAGGAACAGTTGGAAGAAGCGAGTCGGTTGGCCAGCGAGGAAACGGCTCGTCGCCATTCCGCAGTTTCCAGCACTTCAGCTCCGTCTTCGGTTTGGCTTCTTCGTAGCTTCAAATCAAAAGAAAAACATTCAGGCGATTGTTCGCTTGGCTTCTGAGGAACGTGACTTGACCAACAGTGAGAGCGAAAGATCTCAACCGGAAAGAGGTAAGCTTTTCAATATAGTCCTTCTGTGATATAAATTTAGTGTTTAATATAAATATAGTAATATGTCCTGAAAGACTCAAAACATGCCAAAGAAAGATCAGTTTAATATCCTGAATCTTTAGTTATTTTTCACTCGATAAATCCAAAAAAGCGATCAAGTTAATTTTCAAACCTTTACATGATTCAGATGAGAAGAAGAAACTAATTCTCAGAAAATCTTTATTGTATTTTACCACCTCATTAAGTTTTAGAGTTTTGAACAGAATATGATTAAAAGCAGATGGTTGATTAATTCTTACTTGATAAAATTTTCTGACGGAAACTGAGTTAATAATGATTCATTATTCAGACGGTGACGTGAGCGCGACGGCTTCTGTACCACTGAACAGCATGTCCAACAATCAAGCGAATGTCCGACGGAAGAGTCAAGTGAGTCGTCGTCAGAAGTTTCTCGAAAACCTTAAGTGTTCCCTTAAATGGTTATGTTGCTCATAAACAGCCTTGCTGTGTCTACTTTGTTACGTTTTTTAGTTATCTTCAATTTATCCGCCTATTCTTCCCCGTTGATTGGTTTTGAATTATTTGTATGAAAATAGTTATAGAATGAAAACTAAAATTAGATTTTTTTTTTTTGATATGGTAAAAAAAAAGTTGAATGATTAAAATTTTGCGTTTTCATGTCACCTCTGTTGGTTATGTTGATTTGGTTGTGTAGGCGTTGTCGTTCTCGCGGACGAATCGTCGCGGCACTGGTCCTGTGATGGCGGACGACGTGGTGCAGGCGGCGGCTCTTCGGACCAACGGCGGTCATGGCGATATCGCGTCTTCGCCGACCACTCTTCGACTTGCTGCCGTCTCGGCGACGTCGCCCTCCACCTTCTCTTCGACTTCTTCTTCCTCGGCCACCACCCCTCGTGCCTACATCTCTGGAACTTCTATGTCATCCGCTGCTTCTCGATACTCAAACGGCGAAGACAAGGCGACGTCCCTTCCACCGTCTTCCCATACGGTTTGTAGCTTCGCTTTTTCTGTTTTGTTTTTCCTTTGCTTTCGGTAGCGCTGCTCATTAGAGGAAAACATTTTTTTCATAATTAATTTCTTATTTTTGAGCTTTTTCTTCACTTTCCACTCGCAAACTTCAACGCTTTTTGTTATGTCAGGCCTCGTCCATATTACCTTTTTGTTTTGAAATAAGGATTAGTGTTGCTTTCCGTTTGCTTTTTGCTTTGCCTGCATCACCAATAGAGACTTTTTTCTAGCTGCTTTAAAAAAATAATTTGAAAACGGAAAGTTTATAATGAATGGAAAGCCTCGAGTGTTTCGGAAAGTGTCGACCATTCGAGGCGCAAAGTGGGCCGCCAGTGACGCAGTAAGCCTGACTTCTTGTGTTTTCCACGCAACGGCGAATCTCTCGGCCCACTTGATCCGATGCTCTCGGCTCCCGTTTTTTCGATGTTTCACTCATCTCTTCACTCACTTCGAAACCATGCTGAATCGTTCCTCGCTGCTCCAATACGGCTCTGCTTCTTCGCGCTCCCGCTCCCTGCAGAAGCGATCTCGTTCCCGAGCCTTCGGATCAAGAACTTCTTCTGCCTCTTCTATCAATAGCACCTCTTCGTCCTTGCGTGCATACAGCGCAGAACGATACGCGGTATTGTGCGTTCCCTCGTCTACAATCTCAGTATTGAGAATGCATGCGAAACAGCCACAACCGTTCCCATTCATTCTTTCAACAAACAAATTTTATCTTAGTCAGAAAAGTATCCCAAAAGGTTTCCTACGTTAATGCAATCGCTGGAAAACTTTTATATTTTTTTTCAATTGTTGAAGTAATTTCTTTCGATTCAAAATTGATAAGAAAAACTCTTTGTGAAATTTCATTCTCTCAAAAAGTTATATTTTTTTGATTGAAAAAAACCTTTTACGTATTTTTTTCTATAACTCTCAAAAAAATTTTTGCAGAGTTCCGTGGCTCAATCAGCCGCGTCGCAGAGAAGTGCAGTAGTTGCTGGTCTTTCCACGGCCCCCAGTTCGGCGCGAGTCGTCACTGCGACTTCTCGCTTCGGACCGACAAATGTGTCGACATCCACGCCTTCTTACCTCGCTCAGGTTTTCAGATGTCGAACTCAGTTAAGAAATTTCCCCTTTTCTCAGTCTCGGCCCACGGAAACTAACCTCAACTACAAGGCGCTTTATGAGAAAGAACGTGCCGAATGCGATAGACTCCGCAAGGAGGTCGATGAACTTCGCAGGTCTAACGATGTGAGTTATTTTTTTTCGTTGAGTTTTCGCTTTTCGTAACTTTGATTGGTGGTTTTTTTTAACAGTCAAAAAAAAATGAGAACGAGTAAATTTATAGCGTCCTTCGTCGAACTCGACGTCGACGAGTAACTGGCGACTGCGGAACACGTCGCCGTCGTCGAACGCCTCGGCGAGTCTGACGGTCGCCAAGTCTTCCTCTCTGGCCTCCTTCGATGAGAGCGAACGACGAAGCATGGAACGTCGAATCACGGACCTCGAGTCCCAACTCAAGGTCATCCGCTTCTCTGACCTCCTGATCAACTTTGACTTGTTCCAGGAACTGAAGAAACTTCGAAATGACAACGACCGACTCAAGGAGGAAAACGGGGCTCTCGTTCGTGTTATATCCAAAATGACGTCATAAAATCAATGTCTTTCATTTCTCTTTTAGTCTACATTTTTTTTTAAATTCGAGGTTCTCCTCTCACCGTGTATGTCATTTTCTCCGAATGTGAAAATATTCGGCTTTTCTCTTCATTTTATTTTTCTTTCTCTTTTTATCACTGAACCTACTGCGGGAACCGAAAATGATTCAGTATATACGTCGTCTGTCGAGTGCTCTTCACCCACTTTATATCGCCTTGAGCGTAGATGGCATTTCTTTTGTATTGCCTCTTTTTTCAGAAAAGATTTTTATTATTATGGTGTTACATACGATTAATATTACCTTCTCGAGTTTTCTGTTGTTTAGATAGCTGATTATAGTATCAAAAGCAAGAAAGAGATCAAAAAACGCGTCACCACGGAAAGTTTTTTTGTCATATTTGTATTAGTTTATAATTTCCTTCGAAAGTCCTTTGAAAGTTTATTAGTATTGTTTTGATACTCTAATTTTCTGTTGAAGCCTCTTTGCTTGTCACTTCCAAAGATAGTCTACAGATTTTATCCAAACTTCTATTTGAATCCTAACCTTCTCCACATCCGCTGTTTTTGTGCAATATGTTTGATCAAACGATCGCGAGTGCTTGTTTTAAAAGAATAATTAATTTATAAACAAAGTAAACTGATGAGTTTATTCTTATGTGTCTATGTGCAATTGTCGCCTTTCTCTCTTAATATCACTTTTACTTGTTTTTCTCCTCTCTTTTTATTTTTGTTCTCGCAATACCCTTCAGTCAATTTTCATGTGATATTTTTTTGATCCTAAAAATATCGACTTCTAAGCGTGTTTATTTCAGGCAGTAAAAAAGAAGGAAAGACGTCGGGAAAGTATACAAGCATGAGAAGCTGCAAAAACAAAATTTTCGGCGCGTCGCGGTTCAATTTTTACTTGATAAGAAGCAGTAAGGAGATTCTAAGTACACTCAATCGAAGTCTGGGTCGAAAAGCTCGTAACGTCGCTTCGTTTCGCTTCTAACAGTTTGTGTGAACTGTTGTCTCATGTTCTGGAACAAAAAGATGAAGTTTCACGCCCGAAAAAAGAAAGTAACTATAAAAACACGGATACTAACCATTCTGCGTTTATTCTTTTCCCAGAGCCGAGCACGACGAATCATGTCCTCGATGTCGTCTGCCGTGTCGCTGTTTGACGTCGAGAAAGCCTGAGAAGCTGCGGTCGGCTCCGACGTCTTCTGCTCTGTGGTTTGGCCCGAACTCTTGGACTGAATTACTTCAACCGCTTTGACCTCTTTCTGAGCACCTATGATCAGTCTTCTTAGTTTCAGAAATGAATCAAGGTTTTTACCTTTTACTGGTCGCTGTTCCACCTGCGAAGTGATGGTCATCTCCGTAAGAACATAAGATTTGTGATAGCGTACCTCCTCGTCAGCCACGGCGCTTTTTCGACTAGTAACTGCTAGGAAAAGGAAGATTAATGGAAATAAGCCTCAATTCCTAACCAGTTGACTCGGCGACTTTCTGAAGTTCTTCGCCTTGCGACTCTTCACTTTTATCAGGCTCTTTTTCAACTCGAATCTCCACGAGTCTTTCTTTCGAACAACCGCCATAAATGGGCGGTAGCGCCGCCTCTGCTTGTCGTGTTTTCGATTCTGCTGCAGTTTTCTGCTGGTTAAACTTTCTGAAAGTTTAGGTTGCACCTCGTTTGGTGGGAGGACAAGAACGGTTAGTTTGTACGAGACGCGGCAATCTGGTGCTCTTGTTCTTTTCGGATTGATCTGCTGAAAATTCTCCTCGAGTCCTGTGGTTCTCAAAGAAAAGGGAACCTTTTTCGACATTGCTCTGGCTTTTCTCCAAGTTGGTCTCCATTGGTTGAACGGCGGCGTCAGCTTCTAGCCGCTCGTCTTTTTCTTCCTTCTTTTTCTCCGGCGAATCGTCTCCGTAGATCCGGCGGCTGTTTCCGCCGCTCACGTTCAAATGCTCCATACTACCGCCAATCTGTTTCAAACTATTGTATGTAGTAGGTTTGCCGTTTGGACTTCTTTAAAATATAAGCCTGGAAATTCAGGACAAGAACTACTCCAAATATTTGAATTTACCTGAAATATCTATAATTTTCAAGCATTAAGGTTCCTTTTACTAATCAATTGTTCAACATTTGAAATCAAAATTGAAATTCCACGAAATGAAAAAAACAAGTCAAACAAAAACCTTGAGTTTGGGGATTTGTGCTTGGTGCGATTCGAAGTGCTTCAAATGGAGCATCGAAGCACTGGGACTTCGTGTCAAAATCCCGTCGAACGGATAAGGAAGTCCTGGGAAAACAGAAACTGAGCCAAGGTGAGCAAGGAAATAGTCTCTCTACATTGAAAAGCGTTCATAAGTCCGAAAATGTATACTCTACAGGAAAAAGTTTCTGAAGGAATGCCCTGAAGAGAGGAATCAAGGGAGCGGAATGATGGCGGGGGTGCGACCACGGCTTCCGATTGTCCGTCGATTTCCTGCTCTCCGAGCACCAGTCAGTTGCTTTTCTTCCGAATACACTGCACTACAGACACAATTTCAAACTGACAAAGGTCATTCTGGGGAACCAGAAATATTTTCCAGAGAATAGTTTTTAATATAATAGATGAATTTAACTTACAATTTTTTCAAACCAAAAACCCGGAAGTCGTTTAAATTCGAACTTTAATAGAATGAGTTTTTAAACGAAACTTTAGAAATATAAAAGTTACAAGTAAACCTTTCTCGTAAGTGAATAAACTAAAATTGGATCATTGACAACTTTTTCAAAAAGCGCAACTTCTAGAAAAATGACCTGTAATGCTGCCGAAGCCTTCTTTCTTCAGATAGATGTCGACGGTCTCCGCAGAGTGCAGAAAGTTGGGCGGCTCCTGAGAAATTCTGACGATAGGCGTGAACTTCTGGCCAGCGCGCCGGGTCCAGCGAGTTCTGCCATAATCAGCCCTGATGAAAGGACCGCTGACCACGGCAACGTACTCGCCGTTCTGTTCCAACTCGTCGAACTGGAAAAAAGTTTTTGGAATGGAAAAAAAAGCGCTGCAAGTTAATCGGTTAAGGACCAACATGCTGAATAGGGATTCCATGTGTAGAGTAGAGCTTTCGGACTGCTCCGCGGGTGTCCAATCGGGCGGTGACGGCGTCGAGGAAGACGATCCAGTGCTTGAATTCGCGTCTCGTCACGGTCATTCCACGTCCTTCGTCGTAAATGTCGCCGTTGCGGTAGATCCTGATCTGAAACGAAAGCGAGAGCTTTTTCGAAGCTTTTTGATAGTATCATTTAGTAGTCAATCGTTTGAACTTGAACCCAACTAGCTGTCAGAACCTTTGTCTAGTGTTTTTCAACCATACTTTGTTTGAAAAGAATTAATTCTATTAAAACTACCATTGACTCCTTCGATTATCTGATTTTTAAGTCATTCCTTTCACTTTAAATTTGTACTCAAGTCCGGGTACCTGTCAATTCGCTAAGGTTCTCTTTCCCGTGTATTGTTATTCTTCTGTCCATCTTTCTTTTGATCCATTATTTCATATATTCTGAGTTGAAAAATGGCAGCAAAAGAACTTCATCAGAGAAACCTAGAGAAAAAATATTGAATTCGAAAATTCCTTAACATGACATTATATACTAGTTTTTGCCTCGGGCAAAGATTCCCAATCGGAACGTCAAGTTCAATCACATCACTCAACTTGAGAGAGCAGTTATTTTCGAAAAGACCAACCCGAAGAGGCGAATAATCGACGTTGGGGTCGTGCATGTGCTGAAGCGCAGCTTTCATCGCTTCACATCGCCTTGAACTTTTCCTTGGCTAGAGAAAAAAAGGCGGCTTCGACCCCAAAAAGGTAACAAAGCACTCAGCCGTTCTCTTTCCACTTTTTCTGCTATTGCAGGTTTTTGAACTTTGTTCTGTGGCTCTGAAGAAAAAACACAACGTCGTGAAGTAACAAAAAAGAAGCAACTGAGGGAAAGGATGAGTAAATCGCAATGAATTGATAACTTGATGAGAATAATCGGTGAGAAACTTTTGAATTAAAATTAAGAAAATACAAGCCTTGTTCTTCCGTAGAAGGTTTTTTGCGGCCTGGGTGTTTGCTGAAACTCGGCCAAAAACTCTTGGATGCCCTAAATCTCCAAAAATTTCAAGAAAAAAGTTCAGAATCTACGAAGGTTGTTAAAAAAAGATGAATGCAATCATTTTTCTTGAACTAGAACATGAATAGAGCGACTGTTATCAAATGAAAGACGAGACAGAAAAAACCCAGAAAAGTGTACATTTCAGGTGTGAGTCGGCGACATGGAGGGCGAGCAGCTGAGCATGGAGGACTTCCGGTCGCATTTCATTCCTTTTTTCCATTCCTACCCATATTCGGCACAAATCTCGGCCTCCATTATAACTGAGGGACGCTTGTTTGTGTCCGCCCGTTCCTTCAAACAATTATTTATCGACGATCGGAACTAAATTACTTTTTCTCAATCTTCGCAACAGAATTCCGGAATAGTACTATTCGCAAAGCTTTCGTCTAGTGCGTTCAAAATTCTCACGAAAGATGAAAGTCTTGAATCAAAGAGTTACTTTCCGAGTGATTCCCGAAAATTTCGAACAAACTTGACCAGAGATCTTACTCGAAGGGTGAAAATAAAATCTATGTCAAAACTTATTTTTAAAACAGTTCAAAGAGGAGGTTTATAATTTCAATAACACTTTGGATTTGAAGTTTTTGATCCAAGTCCTCTATTTTCCCTTTTTATTCTTCAAGGAGCTTTTTTGTTTTACCCAAGCGATCTAATCTAGGTTTATTTGAATGTGAAAAACTTCAATTAAAAACTGGAAAAACATTTTGTCTCGACAAAAAAGTCATACCGCTTGTATCGTTATTTGAGACCCAATAACATCAAAAAAAAACCCATTTTTCCAATAACCTGATCGGTATGACGTCAAATTATATTGGGTGCCTTCGTAGGAGTGATAAGGAAATCGATCGACTCACTCTCACCACAATGTAGCTACTTTCTATTGTTCCTCTCTTCTGTCCTCAATATTTATTTATAATCGAAATTCCCATTTTAGTTTCTTAATGTATTAAGATCTTGCTTAATGAAGATGTTTGTCCAGAGAGGAATTTGAAGTTTCTCTTCAGAAAATCCAATTGTCCCCAATTTCCGGAGCTTCATTGTAAGTTCAGTAAAGTCTCCATTTTTTTCTATTTCATTATGTATATTTGTTCGCAAAAAAATATAGAAAAATAGAGAAATTTTGGCTCAGGTCTCATTATTTTTATTTCTTTCAACTGATTATTAATTCCCAAAAAAAGAAAATGAATAAAAGGAGAAATTAGAGAATTTTGACTTTTTTGATTATTTTGGACTTTCATCAACCTTGATTGCAAGAATTTTCTAACGATCCAACAAAGATTTAGTTGAAAATGAAGTCGATGGTGGAGGGTCAGTGTGGGCAACAGAATGCTCTCGTCGGCTTGGCCAACGCCTATGGAACTTCTAATCAAAGAGTTGGACCTTCTGTCGGTGAGTTGAGAGCAATCAGAAGTTGTTAATGGATATTACTCCGATTTTAGCACCTTCATCTTTGGTCCCAACGTCTCTGGGAGAACAAATGGCGTCGGAGTTCTTGCAGCAGAAAGGGCGAACTCAGGCGCCCGCAAGCTTCAGTCTCAAAGTCTGTCCTCTCAAGATTTTTGTGTCTCTTTAACAATCAGTCAACAGTTAAAAATTGAATCTTTTCATCATTTTTCTTTCTTCAGTCTTTGTCTCAAACACTTCCGCAGTCGTCCTCCTCAAAACTTGCCAACCAATGGACCTCCGAATATCAGCCGCGCCAAAATCAGGTTCATTATTTCTTTGATAAAAACTTCTTTATGGTTTCAGTGAATATGGTTTCACAACATGTGTTCTTCTAGTTTTTGCAATGTTCGACTGAAACAGCGAACCCATGCCATGTTAAAGTTGAAAAATTGTTCGAATTTATTCTCGGGTTGATAGATGAATACAATCGCATAGAAATCAGTTGCAAAATTGTTACTCTTTGTCTAATACGAATAACTGCAGTAGGATGGAATAGGCACACACTTTTGCACAACACGAGCAGGACTTTCAGCTTGCGACAAGATGGGCACAACAATACACAGCAGCAATGCCGTCGACTTACGACTCGGCGTGGCAAGCTGCCAAACCGACACACCAGGAACCGCTGCACAGCCAGAGGTTTCTTTTGACTATGAACAAAAAGTTATAGACTTTATTTTTTTCATTTCAGTGGGTCGATTGACAGCGGAATGTGGTCTGCCGAGTTTCTGGATACTGTTGAAACTAACCTTCAGCAGGTTTTATTTTGGAATTTGATGAAAAAATACAGAGATTCCAGGGATCTTCAAGCTGGGCTGATGAGTTTCTGGAGGCTCCGGAACCGAATATGTTTCGCCACAACGATGAGACATACGAGCAAGTCTGGAAAGACGTTCAAAATAGAGTAAGGATTTTGGAGAACTTCTCAATTTCTTGCTGACTTATAGATGAACGAAGTTAACTTGGTTGAAGGTCAATCTAATCCAGAATATCTTCCTCAGGTGATTTTTTTTTTCGAAATTTTTCCAAATCTGTTTATCTAGCTGCAAGGAAAATCAAGTTTGCTTATATTTTTTTCAAAAGTTTTTTTATAGATAGCTCTCGAATTTCATAGTACTACAACGAATGCGTTTTTGAGATTTTTTCAAAACTATTCCTTAAGTTCATCGAACTCAATTCGTTCTCGTACTTTCCGATTTGTCAAATTTCCGTTGAAATTACTTCAAACTGTATGAATTTTTAGGAAACTAACCCTTTTATGAGCTACGATAATCCGCTGGCCGAGGGCGACGTTCTGATGCAGCGCGGGGACATTGGCAACGCGGTTTTGGCCTACGAGGCGGCGGTCCAGAAGGAGCCCCAGGACGCCCAGGCATGGTGTCGTCTGGGGCTGTCGCACGCCGAAAACGAACGCGACGCCAAGGCCATTCTCGCCTTCCAGAAGTCTCTTGCCATTCAGCCTTCCAACAAGGAGGTTCATACGTTTTAAGTTTGGAGTTCTTTATCAAAAAAAAATTGATGTTCTGAGTTAATTGGAGTCTTAAAGGCACATATGTTGGGTTCTATGATGAAAGGGATGAAGTTAGCCATTAGAACGTTGGAATAGCTGAAGTCTAACATTTTCAAAAGTTACAGCTCCCTAATTACATAAAATCTCTTTTCAGGCACTTCTTGCCCTTTCCGTCTCTCTAGCCAACGAAGGAATGGAGAACGAGGCGCTGTTCAACTTGGAGAAATGGCTTACAGCCTTTGAGGTTTGCAGAACTTCAGAAATTCTCCAATTATTTCCGTTCAGGGCGGCGATGCTGAAGCTCTTCAGAGCCGTCCTGGTTCTTTCTCGAGCTTCCTGGACCACGACGCTTTTGCTGCCGTCGAGTCTCGGTTTCTAACCGCCGCCAGACAACAAGGAGCCACTCCGGACCCTGATCTACAGGTTGCCACCATTTCCCTGAATATAATAGATGCCGGTTTGAGAATTCTTTGGGAGTGTTGTACAACTTGAATCGAAACTACGAGCGAGCCGTTGAGTCCATAAAACTTGCCATCGCAAGCCGATCTGACGTGGGACTTTTTTTCTCATTTTTCAAATAAAATTCAAGCTAACAATATCAGCTACACTTTGAATTTATCTAACTTCAACTTGAATTCCTCCGTCGCATATACTTTTTTTTGTAAATTCAAAAATTTTATTTTTTTTAAAATCAAGGTTAGGATTTCTGATTTCGGCTATTTCAAGATCAAGACAAAGAGCTTTCATTTTTTTTTTTTTGCAAAAAATACTTTTTCGCCTTTATTGTTTGCTAAACTTAAAACGCGTTTTCAAAAAACCTTGTAAAAAACTGGAACCAGAATTTTTTATTGTTTTTTTAAAAATTTCAACAGTCTGCAAGTCTTCTGAGTGGAATATTTTAGACAGGAAGTTGAGGGGACAAAAAGAAACACTTTTTTGAAGGATGCCCGGCTGTGGAACCGTCTGGGAGCGACTTTGGCCAACGGGGACAGGACCGCCGAGGCGATTTCCGCCTACCGCGAAGCCCTCCGCAGATATCCGACCTACGTCCGGGCTCGCTACAACCTCGGCATCAGCTGCATGCAACTCTCCACTTATCGGTATCGATCAATAAGTGAACTTTTATCAAAAACGGGTAGATATAGAAAATTTTTATAAATAAACCGCTTCTGAGAAGGAAGGATGGAAGTTTTCTGATATTCAGACTGTTAAGAATGCGGTTCATTTATTTTTTAATCAATTGATTTTTTTTTTCAAGTCTAAAAACAGAAAAAAAAGGGATGAATTATGGATTTTTTTTTGTAAAAATGGGCAGTACTACTATTAATTGAAAACTTATTTAAAATTTCTAGTTGAACTCGGAAATTTTCGAAAGTTTGTTTTTAAAGTTTCGCTGAGCATTCAGAGGCGTCAAACCTTAACTCCAAGGGCCAAAAAAAAGTTGTTTGTCTGATTTTTTTCAACGGCGAAAGGTCAAACTTCCTGTATCTAGAGCATGTCATTAACCTGACATATGATTTTTTTTTTCAGTGCGCAAAAATTTTTCAAAATATTATAACAAATGAAGAAAAACCGTATAATTTTCGGAAAGTATTTAGATTAGAGAAATTAAATTTTTCAACTCTAAATTTGATCAATGAGCGGGTGTCTTGTTACGGGAAAGTTCGGAAAGATTGTGTGTGAGTCACAAGTTTTATGAAGTCCACGTGACAGCCTCCGCAGCTCGAAACGAATACTTTGGCTTTGAATCTAAAAAAAGCATCTCAGAGAAGCCCTCGAACACTTTGCGTCTGCGTTAGAACTCCAAAAAGGCGGAAACGAAGAATCAGGCATCTGGAGCACGATGAGGTCGGTCCTCTGTCTGGTGCAAGGAGTAAATTTCCTGGTTTAGGTCGGCGTCAATCCGAGTTCACGATGCGCCGGAATCTCTGCGGACGGCCATCGAAAACCGCGATTTGAACGCTCTCAGAGAATCTCTCCGAAGATTACCCGGTTAATTTCGAACTCCCTCTTTTTGTACAAGTAAAAAATTTGAATTGATTAATGTCTCAGCAAAACAGATGGTTTGATAGAAATTCTCTCTGGAAAGGTGAAAATGAGTAAAAAATATTTGAAGTGTGGCATTACTAAAGTTTAGAATTAAAAAGGAAAAAAGAAATAAGAGGCTCTGCAAGTTCTACGAAAAGAAGTTTCGAATAGCTTAGGAAAATGTTTGGCTTGTTAACCTCACTTTTCTCTGGCTTTTTTTTTATCTTTGTGTGAGAAAAAAAGCACATTCCAGACCATTAAAGTGGTTTTTCTTTCAAACTTGTGGTTTTTTGTCGAATTCTGGACGAAAATGAGAGCAAACAGAATTTCAGTTTGATATACTCATCATGTTGCGTCGCGTAAAAAAAAGTTCCGATTCCATTTTTATTATTTTACAAAAAAGCATATTCTTTCAAAATCTTTCGAAGAAAAGGTCAATTTTTTGAAGAAGGACGAACTTTGTTATCGAAAAATGAGAGCGACAAACCGCTTGATAGCGGGGCGGTATGACGGGGGCAATTTGTCAAGCAGCTGGTTGGCCAGTCACAAGGCTCAGGCTCAGCAAGGAGGAATGGAGCCGCAAACTCGTCCGCATGCTCCCGCCGCCGTGGCTCCGCGCGTCTTTTCTGCTCCACTGCACCCTCGCTTTGTACATCGTCAACACCAAGACCGTGCTGGACCTGTCGCCCTCGAAGCTTGAGCCAGAAAGACAAACTGAAGAGCCCCAAGTCGCCGGTGCCGGATCTAGACCTCTGGTAGAAACCCCTGACGGCGTCAACTTTGCACGAGACCCGATATTTTCGACGACGTCGACTTCTCAGCCTTTCGTAATATTGTCAGAAGATGATGTTGCGGCCGACGTCAAAGAAAAGCCGACTACCGAATCTGCTCCAGCTCCCACGGTGCCTGCGTCGACCATTTCTCCGCTTTTGGTTGTGACAAATGACGTCAAAACTTCTCAGAGTTCTGGAAGAATCCCTCAAGGAAGCTCAGAAATCGACCACTCGGACATCAAAGAAGCTGTCGATGAAACTCTTGAGATTGTCAGCGAAAACGCCAATCTGATGGCTACGATCGCCTCGAATTTCGCTGAAAATTATTCGGAAGCCAGTGAAGCTACATCTTCTGATGTGGCTACGACACAGGCAACAGAGCAAAACGAAGAAGACGATCAAAACCTTGAGAACGTCGAAACGAAGGATAACTTTGTTCATGAGATGACCGCCACTATTACGTCATTAGAAAAGGTGCCGGGCTCTGAAATGATAAATCCAGATGAGACATTTGAAGAAGGGGCGGCTTCCCCAACAGAAGCTCAACCAGGAGAACTGTCTGAGATTCTAGGTTGAACCATTTCATAGACACATTTTATGGTTTGTTTCAGAAATAAGCGCAAAAGATCAAGTCGAAATAGAAGAAGCCTTGATCGATCTGCTCCACATTTTCATTATTTTGGCCCCGGCAGTCAACGAAAGGCAGATTTTCCGTTGGTGGCGCGTCATTTCAGAAGCAATACAGGTTTTTTTTTGGCAAGTTAGGATTTTTCCAATACGTTTCAAACTTCTCAATTCTGCAATTTTTTTCAATTACTCATATAAGAATTAATATCAGGAAAAAAATTTTTAATCAACATTATCGTTCACAAAAAAATAATTTGAATGTGAATCTGGTTTCAGTGCTCTCTACGTGACTGCCGAGCAGCGCTTGCTTCAAGAAAATCGGCCCAAACGGTCGTCAAGTTGCCCGGAGTTATCCGTCGAAGGCGCGAGGCCAAGCCTTGCCCTTGTCGCGATTTCGAGGTAGTCTTTTTTTCCTCTCATTTTTAATTTCCATGAGGCACAGAATCAAAACGTTTTTGCAGAGACACCTGGCTGCGCTGTGATGTTTATACGTGTACAAAACGCCTCACAGAGGCACTTCCAGTTGTGAATATTATGAGTAAAACTTGTTATACAGTTTCAAGGTGTTAGACATTTGAAAGTACAGGAACAGTCGCAACCACACGGGAAAAGAAGCTTTCGATGGATCACCCTGACGGGCTCCACGCCGTTTGAGCACTGTTCCACTCCGCAGGCACAACTGCACTCCTCACAATCGGCTGCAAAATGAATAATGTGATTGAAAGCAAGAGAAAAGACGAACTCGATCTGGTGATCACGGGAAATTCCCTCGAAACGAATGGACAGATCTCCGTTTTCCACAGCAAATCGACGAGAGTTCTGTTGCCGTCGTACTGATGCCAGCACTGCCAGCCTCGGTAAACCTCAAATAAACAACTTTTTTTGAGAGCTGAAATAGAAGTGAAAGCCGGAGTGTTCATCAATACATGTACTTCCATACTTTTCAGTTCAACTTGGTTGCATCTTTTTTAGTTATAAAAATTATCGAAAAAAAATTTGAATCTCGATAACAGGAAATTTCTCAGCACAAAAAAATTAATACTTTTCGTTTTTTGTTCATTATCTTGATATTTTCATGTTGATGAGATTATTACCAAATCTGCGACAATGGAGTGAGCAAAATCCTGGGTTCCCGTGTTCAGTTGGTCGTTGATGCAAGAAGACGAGTCTACTGAAACCGAAGGAGAAGTGCAGCAGATCGGGTCGAGTCTGTTGAAATCAACTCGATTAGTATTGAAAACAATTGTTTCCTAATTTTCTTCAATTTGACCCAAATTGTTTCCAAATTCAACTTTCCTGGCTACAGACTTCTGAGCGAACATTAAAAATTTCATAAAAATTTTCAACTGAATCTACACTAACACTGTCGCCTGCGTCGCATTTTCCAGTTGAAATGCGTGAAAACCGCCAAGCCAACTGTCGCCAGAACAACCTGTAAAAAATTTAATGTATCCCGCTATTTTCTCATTAAAAAATGATTCTAAGAACTTTTTAAAAAGCTAAAAAAACCAAAAAAAAAAACCTTCAAGTAGCCCCGTGCACTTGGGGACGTTTGCCTGTGGAGCGCAGGTTGTCGACTCGGGAAGCGCAATTTGTTCGCACTCTACAGTAAGCGTTCCCAGAGTGCTGTAGTAGGTTTTCGTGCGGCGAATGGCCGATACACGGTAACCTTTGTCACATACCAAGGCCTGAAAACTGGCTGTAGTCTATCGGAATCATTGAAAAAAAAAACGAAAATGTTGAGGTAGTAATAAATTAGTTCAAATGCCTTTTATTTCTAGACAATTTGAGAGTTATAATATTCCTAATGGTAATCGTGAATTTACTTGGAAACTTGGAACTAAATATGACAAAATTAAATATATTGTTCTCTCTTTTCAGACTGCAAGAGATAACAATTATCTCAATGCTGCTGAATTTGATAATTGTGGACTTGAAGAAATCTATGTTGAATTGAATAGTGAAAGATATCCATACGAATGTCTGAAGTTTGACTTTGATAAATTTAATGCAGTTCAACAATACAATTTTGCTAAAGAATTTAGGAATAGTTATTATGAAAGTGTCAAAGATTATATTTTTATGGAAGAGGATGTTTACTATTATTATTATCCTTTATTAGTATTTGATGTATCTAAACAGAATGATAGAATTATTGCATCTCGACCTGATGTCACAATAAAAGCCAGCTTCGCTAAAAACATTGCTCAAAGTACTAAATGTTACTGTCTGATTCTTTCAGAAAATATTGTTGAAGTCAAGGATAATAGAGTTAAGGTTGTCAGTATTTGATAAATCAAACTTCATGATTTTAATAATTGAGTATAAAATGCTTAGGTCTTTAAAGGATCTCCTTCGGATTCACTTGTGAAATTTAAATTCGTTTCCTTTATCCAAGAGTTAAATTTCTCCGGATATATCCATACCACTTAAAGGCATAGGGGCAGTAAAAAATGGGGTTTCAGGTGAAAGCAGTATCTTATATAGTTTTTCTTTGCTAATCGAATGGTGTACTCAAAACAATTAAAGATGTGACAACTTTAGAAGAAAAACGCGATTTTACTTTCCCGCCTTTATTTTTGAAAAAAGCTTTGGATCGGCCTACGGACAAATGTTTACAGTAGCCGTGCACGCGATGTTGCGGACGTCTCATTAGACTCGCATTTTGTGAGAAATAACCGGCTCTCTGCTTCAAATTAAGGGTTTCTTTTCTGAAAAATCGTTTAGTCAAACAAAAAACACACACCGATAATAAAGGAAACACAAATAATCGCTATCCCAATCGAAACCTGTGTAAAATCATCATTTTTCACGAAAAACGCATTTTTGCGATCAAAGTTTGCAAATTATACATGAATAGAAAGCTTTCGTGACGAAAAGAACTTTGGTGACAACAGAAAAAATTGAAAATTGAAAGAGACGAAGAAAAAAGCGAAAATCCGGAAGATGGGAAAGCCTGTTGTCCATAGAGCAACTTTACTGCAAAGTGCCCTTTTTGCGGGAACTCGAACTTTCCTCTCTCCGACTTTGAATTATTTTTTCTCCAAAACTATGAACTTCTGTACGTTTCCAAGTTTACCGTTCGATTCGCAGTGAAAAACTCTACAAAGTACTGCTTTAAAATGAAACACCGTTTTTTACTGCCCCTATGCCTTTAACAAACACTTCTTTTACTCCTTTAGATTTTCTATGTTTTATCACTTTTTCAACTTTATACTCTTCATTGATATTATTGTAAAGTGTGAGTTCTTGTTCATAAAACTTTCCTTTGATTTCTTCATCTGCAAGATCTTTTAGTTCGTACATCACAGGTTCACCAATAGGAACTTTTGCAATTTTGAACATCTCAGTCGTCCAATTCGGAAGATAACCTTTATCAAAAATAACTTTATACTTTGTAATTCTAACAGTGTCACCTATTTTGAATTTTGGACTTATTTGAGTCTTTTCTTCTTTTCTTGGTGGAAATAAGTTATTGTAAACTATTGATTCATTTTCTATTTTTGAAGCCTGCGTGGGAGTCATTTTTATTGAAGTGTGATAATGATTATTATAACCCCAGAGTAAATCATCAAGAATATCAACCCATTTATGATTTCCTTGATGAGTAAACATTTTCCACATCTTTTCTTTTAAGGTTCTATTAAACCTTTCGATAATAGAAGCTTTTCTTATCTGAATAGGTTGAAAAAAATGAATAATTTCTAATTTTTTTGAAGAGAGTTTTTTTAAATTGGAATTGTAATACTCTTTTCCATTATCAGTTTGCATCTTCTTTGGTTGTCTACCACTCTGAATGAAAATTTTTTCAAGAGCTTCTGTAGTTTCCTTACCACTTTTAGTCTTCAGAGGTACTACCCAAGCAAACTTTGAAAAGCAATCAATGATAGTTAAAAGATATTTAAAGTCTTTGTTTTCTTCTGAGTAGGGAATCATTTCTACAAGATCTGATTGCCATTGATCATCTATACCATTAAAGTAAACTCTTTGACTCTTGAAGTTCTTCCTAGCTGGTTTGTGTAGAGTGTAAACATCTTGTTCATTCAGGAACTCTTTAACCTTTTTCTGTGACACCTTTGTTATTCTTGCTAACTCATCGATACCACAAAATCCTGTTTTAGGAGAATAATAAGCTTTTTCTAAAAGATCTCTTTCACCTTCGGAACTTGTGGATTGTCTAAGAATTTTAGATTTTTCACTAATTTCAACCTCCTTGATATCTTCTAATCCAGAACCTCCTGTGATTTTTGGAATTAGCTTACACTTCATTGTATTACAATCTTGGCATAACCCTTTTTATCATAGAACGTTTCGAGCTTGTTTCAACATTAAATATGTCAGTAGTATCAGTATATTTTTTTACATTTGAAACAGTATACCAATTCCATAATTTAGAAGTTAAAATTTTTTTGGATACAAATATCTTATTTGATTTTTGTGAAATGGGGGACGTTCAGTGAAAATGGATGTCTTCACTAGAAAGTGAATTCACTTCCACCTAGCCATGAACCCCAAACATGGCTACCTCACCTGAGGTATTAACTTTTTTTCACTTGACTTCAATCAAATAAGATATTTGTTTTACTTTTTTTCCAAATAAAAACAAGAAGATAAAAATAACAACGAACATGAAATAACAAAAAAATTAACAACAACAATCAAATGATTATTCACTTTCTCCCCTTCCGGAGAAGATTCTTCAAGTCGTTACATAGACTGTTTTCTCAGAATTTCGATTGCTCATTCAACATTTCCTGCTGAAATATATCTTATTCATTTAAATTCTTTGTTGTTATTCTGAAGACGTTCATTACTCACCTTTAGTAGTTCGTTGAATCTTTCTTCTCGTTAAACATAATAAAATCTCTGGTCATTGAACACATCTTTCACTGTTCGAAGAGTTTCACCAATTTCGTTAAATTGATGTTGTAGAAATGAAACCTGCAAATAATGAATAATCTAGTGTATCAAACAAAAAAGACTTACCAGTTCTTTCTGTTCACTATTACGCTTTATGGAGAAGTAGAGATTTCATGACACGAAAAAGCATCCTCCATCTTATAAGAAAATATTGAACTTTTTGAAAAAAACATCTTCAAAAATGCAATAACAACACAAAAACTGAAGAAATTCTGCGACGCAAATCGTTCTTAAATGAGACACTTTCTCTATGCTGGGAGGCGACATATATAGCATGGATTTTAACCACTTTCGGGGTCTCGCAACGATTTTTCCATTAACTTTTGTGAATAGAAAAGAGACTTCCTTTCTTCTGTAGTTTGCGTTGATTCCTTTGCTAGATATTCACAATAAACTTAAAAACTCCTTTTTTTATATAATTATTTTACAAATTTATCATTCATCAAAAATTGTTTTTTATTTCTTTTTCTAACTTACCATGTTCCAGGTGCTTTGATTCATAATGATGCTTGGATTGTTTCGACATCGGTTGTCAACAAATGTCCGTTATTTCAAAACGGTAAGCCATATTTATTTTAATAAGCTTTTAATAGGTTAATAAACAAAGTTACAAAACATTTTTATGACAATCATGTAATTCACATATATAACTCGATATATTCTTAGTTTTCCGACACACATCTCATCACGGCGTTCTGCGTAGTGGAAAAAAATGTAAAATTTTTGAAAATGCGGAGCGGCTTTGAAAGGTTGCTCCACCTAGAGTTACGGTAGACAGCTTGCGCGCGAACATTTGAATTTCTTGTTGCTCAAGTGCTTCAGGTGATTTTTCATGTTTATTTCAGTTGTATCTTTATCTGTTTTGTTCTGATTCACGGTAATTATTTTTTATTGCGACAGCAAAATGCGAAGGAACTTTTTTTTTCAATTTTCCATATTAACTGCTGGGTTTTGACAAAATTTCCGCTTTAAAGCAAAAAAAAGCCTTTCAGCAACATTTTCAGTGTCAAATTAAATTTTTTATTCGAATCAATCAATCTCTTCATTTTCGCAACATCAGAATGGTATGGCGATGTTGCAGAGAAGAAAAAATACCGCTAGGTGGATGAACTAAACTAAATCTGTAAAGAAAACTTTTTTTTCTAAATTTTTTATAATTGGGGAAAGACACATAGAACCACAATAAGTCATTTTCGGCACAAAATTTCACGTTTTTCACTGAAAAAAAGGACTTTAACTCATTTTGAGGGTGAAAGGTATAAAAGTGTTCAGAAAATAAGAAAAACTTTCACCCAAATGTTTTATGTCAGCTAGAAAAGGAATTGTAATAGGATCGATTTTTTTCACGTCTATAGTTTTGAAGAAACGCTATTTTTCGAGGAAAAAAATTATTTTCGAATTTAATGAGTATGCGAGTTAGCGTCGATCTGTGTATGCACCAAAGACGTCAAATATTACGGAAATTGTGGGAGGGGCGTCGTCAAAAGAACGCCGTGTCATCTATACAGTCGATTTGCTAAAAGAAAAAGCGAGGGGATACTTGGAAGTAAACGACACAGCTCAGGCTTGTGAGAAGACATTCCAGGTATGTATTTTTTAAATTTTGTTTTCAATGTAATTCAATGCCTTGAAAGTTAATAGCATTTTTGCTTAGACTTCTAATCTTTATTTAAAAAAATTTTTAGGGGTGCAAACTTGCACTGATGGGATATGTCAAGAAGCTCGAGACGACTACTGATGTTAAGATTGTGCCCGAACACCTTGCCAATCCATGGAACTACAGAGCGTTCAAGAAACTCTGCGACATCTTGATAAAGAGAACTGATCCCGGTTTGGCTGATGAGCTGAATAATGGTTGGACCCATGCATATAGGTAAGATATATATATAATTACTGTTTTTATGTTATTTTTTTAATTGTTTTTTTAGGTTCCATATCGAAGGGTGGACTCAAAACAATTTGACGGTTGAAGGAGTAAAATTATCAATGCCTTATGTTATCAGGTAAATAAGAAGTTATTTATTTGGATTATTATTTTTTTAGATTTATGGATATTGTCGAGAAAGAACTGACCATTGATCTAGAAATGGCAATGCATCTAAAAGAGCATCTTTTTAAATTGGATCTCAATGAGCTAGCAAGTGCAATAAATAAGGTTATTATTATAGCAATATAATAGTTTATAATTTATATATTTATAGCAAGCTAAATCAGGAGAAGTGGGCTTACTTTTACAAATTTTAAACATGGAGAAGCATTCAGTAAGTTTTATTCTTTTTATTCATTTTAATCAACTAATATTTAGCGTGTGAAATTGTATGATATCTACAAGACGACTTATGGTGAAGATTTATTTGATGTTTTGACCAAAAACAAGAAAGGATTCGAACAAAATTTTTCTCTGTGAAAAGTTTATTACTTTGTATTTATGAATAAATTTGATCCAAAATCATCTAATTGAATTTAAATTAACTATTCCTACTTCTCTTGATATTATCTTGTCTGGTAAAGTGTCTCGCATGAAGATACCTCTAAAATTCTTGATTTCCAATACTTCGACTAAAGCAAGGAGATCTAGATTTGTTAGCGCAGGCAGATCTTTCTCTAGCTTCACCATTTATTTAGCATTTTTTTATTCACCGTTCTAGCGCACCTTTTCTCGACCATTTCGACCATCCATTTCGACCACATTTTCATGGTAGCGCATTTCGACCTTTTTACCATTTTTGAAAATTGTTTAAAATGATACATTTTCAAAGAGTTAAGACAGAAAATCGATGAAAATAAGCCTTAAAATGGCTAAAAAATGAGAAAATTGAGGATGGGCGAAAAGGTGCGCTAGAACGGCAAAATACATATTAATTGCCGGGCTCTGAAATGATAAATCCAGATGAGACATTTGAAGAAGGGGCGGCTTCCCCAACAGAAGCTCAACCAGGAGAACTGTCTGAGATTCTAGGTTGAACCATTTCATAGACACATTTTATGGTTTGTTTCAGAAATAAGCGCAAAAGATCAAGTCGAAATAGAAGAAGCCTTGATCGATCTGCTCCACATTTTCATTATTTTGGCCCCGGCAGTCAACGAAAGGCAGATTTTCCGTTGGTGGCGCGTCATTTCAGAAGCAATACAGGTTTTTTTTTGGCAAGTTAGGATTTTCCAATACGTTTCAAACTTCTCAATTCTGCAATTTTTCAATTACTCATATAAGAATTAATATCAGGAAAAATTTTAATCAACATTATCGTTCACAAAAAAATAATTTGAATGTGAATCTGGTTTCAGTGCTCTCTACGTGACTGCCGAGCAGCGCTTGCTTCAAGAAAATCGGCCCAAACGGTCGTCAAGTTGCCCGGAGTTATCCGTCGAAGGCGCGAGGCCAAGCCTTGCCCTTGTCGCGATTTCGAGGTAGTCTTTTTTTCCTCTCATTTTTAATTTCCATGAGGCACAGAATCAAAACGTTTTTGCAGAGACACCTGGCTGCGCTGTGATGTTTATACGTGTACAAAACGCCTCACAGAGGCACTTCCAGTTGTGAATATTATGAGTAAAACTTGTTATACAGTTTCAAGGTGTTAGACATTTGAAAGTACAGGAACAGTCGCAACCACACGGGAAAAAGAAGCTTTCGATGGATCACCCTGACGGGCTCCACGCCGTTTGAGCACTGTTCCACTCCGCAGGCACAACTGCACTCCTCACAATCGGCTGCAAAATGAATAATGTGATTGAAAGCAAGAGAAAAAGACGAACTCGATCTGGTGATCACGGGAAATTCCCTCGAAACGAATGGACAGATCTCCGTTTTTCCACAGCAAATCGACGAGAGTTCTGTTGCCGTCGTACTGATGCCAGCACTGCCAGCCTCGGTAAACCTCAAATAAACAACTTTTTTTGAGAGCTGAAATAGAAGTGAAAGCCGGAGTGTTCATCAATACATGTACTTCCATACTTTTCAGTTCAACTTGGTTGCATCTTTTTTAGTTATAAAAAAATTATCGAAAAATTTTGAATCTCGATAACAGGAAATTTCTCAGCACAAAAAAATTAATACTTTTTCGTTTTTTTGTTCATTATCTTGATATTTTTCATGTTGATGAGATTATTACCAAATCTGCGACAATGGAGTGAGCAAAAATCCTGGGTTCCCGTGTTCAGTTGGTCGTTGATGCAAGAAGACGAGTCTACTGAAACCGAAGGAGAAGTGCAGCAGATCGGGTCGAGTCTGTTGAAATCAACTCGATTAGTATTCAAAACAATTTTTTCCTAATTTTCTTCAACTTGACCCAAATTGTTTCCAAATTCAACTTTCCTGGCTACAGACTTCTGAGCGAACATTAAAAATTTCATAAAAATTTTCAACTGAATCTACACTAACACTGTCGCCTGCGTCGCATTTTCCAGTTGAAATGCGTGAAAACCGCCAAGCCAACTGTCGCCAGAACAACCTGTAAAAAATTTAATGTATCCCGCTATTTTTCTCATTAAAAAATGATTCTAAGAACTTTTTAAAAAGCTAAAAAAAAAAAAAAACCTTCAAGTAGCCCCGTGCACTTGGGGACGTTTGCCTGTGGAGCGCAGGTTGTCGACTCGGGAAGCGCAATTTGTTCGCACTCTACAGTAAGCGTTCCCAGAGTGCTGTAGTAGGTTTTCGTGCGGCGAATGGCCGATACACGGTAACCTTTGTCACATACCAAGGCCTGAAAACTGGCTGTAGTCTATCGGAATCATTGAAAAAAAAAACGAAAATGTTGAGGTAAATTGTACTATACAGCTTTTCTGTACCGAAAATGAAAATTTCGAAAAAGACCGTTTTTTTTTTCCAAAAGTTCGCAGCTCTGAAACCTTATTGGAAAGGAAATATCATCTAAGATATATTATAATTTTTCTAACAAAACTATTTATGATCTTTTTAATAGCAAACCATTCATTTAAAAAGAAAAATTTCAAAAAAATTTTTAAATTTTAAAAAAATTCAAAGAAGCTGACAAAATCGATATCGGCGACGACGGCAGCAAAGACGGCGAGAAGACACAGCAGCCGAACAAGCATTTTTAGGTCACTGAGGCAGACTTGGTCGATTTGGGTTGGACGACACCGGCTTCATTTTCTGCTATCAGAAGACCTCAAAAGCAATTCAAATCTAACAAAGTTATTGTTTTGGTCAGAAGCTAGAAATTCTTCATAAAATGTCTCGCACTCTCCTTCATGTGCTATAAATTAAGCTCGCACTTCATCTTTGTCTTGTTAGCCTATTAGGTTTAGCAAGAAGTCTCATTCCTGAGTCATTTGGCCCAGATATATCATCAGATCGATCTAATCGCGAGTCTCGTGAAAAGGTTCACCGATCATGATAATTTAAAAAACAACTATTTGGATAATTTTCTACTTTCTTTATTTTAAATTTCAGTCCAAATCCATGAAGAAAAACTTCGAAACAACAATAATTTTCAATTTTTCAGACCCTACTAGGATCTAAGAGCTTCACAAGCAAAAGAATTTCCTGCCAGACGATCCAAAATGCATAACTGCCTCGGATGTTGTCAAAAATTTCATCTCTTTCTTCGAACTCGCAATATTTTGCATTTTCTATGCGCTCATCATTTCAGCTTCTTTTATCGCTTTTTTCTTCACCAGTCTCTTCTCATAAGACAAGCTTCAAGACTAAAAGTTGTTGAATTTTCTATTCCCTGAGTGCGAAAGCTGTTAGAAATTTCATTTCATTTAAAAGTGAAGAGGGGACAAACTTACTGTATTTTGACGAGTATCGAAGTTGGCATTTTGCCAAATGGAAAATTCGCGTCGAAATCCTTTCACGCGCACTCACTCTGCGAATCTAATTTCGGGATTTGGCTTGAAAATTGAAATTAGTGTCAAGCGAATATTGCAAGTCGCCCCGAGGCCACGTTTTCTGTCGCCACGTCGCCATTACTTTCCACTTGGAAATTGTTCTGAAACTGTCTTTCACAGAGCCTACAGAAAAATCACTTTGAGAAAAAAAAAACACTTACAAAAGAGGCCAATTCAGCATGAAGAAATTATTTAGTGTGTAATTTATGAGGCTCCTCAGTTTTTTTTTCAACATTGAAATTGGAAATGGATTAAAAGTTCAAATCTAAAATTTAGCATCGTTCGAAACTACGATGGGTATTTAATCTTCATCTACAGACCCACATAGACATTGAGCTGATTTATAAAAAATTCAAAACGTCTCACCAAAATAGCCTCCCTACAAGCCAAAAAAATCTTTATAAGCTGCCACAAATGCAAACGACTACTTAATTGTTATTGAGGGGTTTCAAATTTCCTGTGCGGAGAAAAACTTGAAAGGCCGCAAGGGTTGAAAAAGGCCCAAAAATGAAAACAATGCGATTGAATGGCGCGTGGATGGGTCCATAATAACCGTGATTAAGTCGCCGCTTCCGTTTTCACATTTTTGTTTGGGGGCCTTGCAATGAAATTTCTTAAGGCTTTCATTTCAACTTCATCAAATTTATATGCCTCTTTACTCGTTTTCCCAATGAAAAAATGATCAATTATTCAATTTGTTCGTCTTTCATTTGGCTCAAAATTGCAATTTGCGATGCGCGGTTCTTTTTTTCATAGGAATTCGGTTCGATAAAAGTTTGAAAAATTGAAAAAAAAAATTAACATTATGGAAAAATCAAAGGTTTTCCAGGATGGGAGAAGAAAGGTGAGGCATCTCTGGCGAGGCGGCGGCGGAGAGTGTATGTTTGTGGCCGAGCGCTTTTCAATTCAAACGGCCCTCGGAAGATGTTCGTTTAATTAAAACGCTTCTTCAATGTAACATTTTGAGACCACGCCTTCGAAGTTTGGCCTCTTCAAACCGCTTTCCCTCCACTTTTTCCGCGCTTGTTTTGCCCACTTCTTCCCTTTGTCTTTTCATTTTTCGCGTTTCAAATTTGTCCGAAGCCGTGTCTAAAATTTGACGAGTTTGCGAGTAGCGCCAAGTTTCAAGCAACAAAATCATCAAATTTAAATTTAGCCTCACCCAAAAGAAGGAACAAAAATCATCGGATGTGACGTTAGGGCGAACCTCCAGCTACAGTACCTCGGTGCACGATCTGACAGGATAAAACGAGATTTTTCTGAATTATTTCAATTTTCGATGCTTTTTTTTGAGTGAAAATTGGGTGAAAATACGGATAAAAAACGAAAAATGAAATAAAATAGCGAACATAACTTTTTTATCGCGAAGACTGAAAACTTAAAAAAAAAAGCAAAAATATATGCCCGCAAGAAAACTTTTTCAGTAAAATTGGATTTCTTATTTCCTTTAAAATCTTTAGAATAGAAGACGAAAGGATGTTCTGAAATCAGAGCAATGTGCAAAGATTATCGGGAAATTTTTTTTGAAATGAAATCAATTCGAACTGGCCAGCTGGAGAAACCCTTTTAATGAAGGTCAGGAAAGAGAATGACCAAAAAAGCCGAATTGAATTTTTTAGGAGTAGATCGGCTCAGTACTATACTATAACTTTTCCTAATTGATAATTTATTGAATTTGCACAAGTAGCCTGCGGTATAAGGAAAAGCGGACACCTCCAACTACTCGGCAACGAAAACTGGACGCGCTCCGGGCGTTCCTGAGCACTTCTAGGGATCACTAAAGAGCGCTGCCCCTACTAAAGTGGTCTCTAGAAATGCTCACGTCCGGAACGCGTCCGATTCGCGTTTACAAGATTCGAGAAGGGCATTGAGCGTGTCCTGGTTCTCAATGAAGCAAGTTTTTATTTTATTTTTTCTTCATTTTTTATATATTTCCATGGCACGTTCACTATTTGAAATCAAAAATGTCTCTATTAAACAATTACATTTTTGGGCTTCAGTGGAAAAGTAGATTTTTTCTAATCTGGTGCGATTTTGTTGACTTTTGAGGCACTTCTTTTTTTTTAAACCTTAATGATATCAAAAAAACTTTGAAGTTTGTAAACTTTTTTTTGATTCCTTTTTTATCTATTTGGTTAAATATATAATATAACATATATGGAGTTTTCGTTCCTTGTTCCGAGTTTCGATTTCTGTCCAGGAAAAGTATCATTTTCAGTGTTTCCTCTCTTCGTATAAACTTTTTGGAAAAATTCCGCTCATATACTGTTCTGGAAAATGAGCGTCCACATAGCGAAAACCAATAGTTTCATGATTACTCAGACGTCACAAAGAAAATTTCTTCGTTTTGCAAAGTTTTCTCTAAGCTTTTCTTCTAACTGGTTCAAATTAAAATTAGCTCCGTTTTGTTAATGAAAATCCCATATCGATTTGAACCTCTTTTTATCCTGATAGAGTTTTTTTTTTGAGATTTATTTCCTCGCGGTACATTTCGTTTAATGTTCTCTCGATTAATTGGGACTTCTTCCTAACTTCATATTTGTTTCTGAGTTTAATCACTAATCTCAATAATCTTCTTCCATAACCAAGTTTTCTCTTTAATCTTATAATTTAATTCTTCATCCATTTCTGCGCATGGCGTTAGAGACAGAGACAGTTTTGTTAATGGCACGCTTTTCATGTAGATAACATCCAAATAGTCGCATTTTTCTCGCTTCTGGTCATTCTTTTTTGTCCTCTCGTTTAGTAGTAGGCTCTTAAGCTAAGTTTTTCGAGATCTTGCGAGGCAAAGTTTTCGTTTCCCTTTTGGTAAATCAAAGTTCTTCAATGCTAAATTGAGGCTATCTATGCAAAAATTGGCTTTGGGCAATTGCGAAAGCGAGTGCGTGAAATCGAATGAATAAGTGATGGGTCGGAATCCAGGAAAAATGGAAATTTAGCTCGGCCGGGGGAAAACTTTTTAAAAAAAGTTTCTCATCAATTTTCGCACGCATTCGCCCGTCGGTTTTAATTTATCATCGGTTATGACCTGCGGCGAGTCGAAATTCACTCGGCCCTTTTCCGCCTGCTTCTCCTCCATTCGGCGCTCCGTTATCCAGTAATTCTTCCCAAATTATCTCCCCGACATCAAGCAGTTCAGTTGGTTCATTTTCATATCTTGCACGCGTCAACATAATTGTGGCATTGAAAAACAAGAAAATGCACTCTAATTTGTCCTTTCAAAGCTTTTTCGAATCTTTTTTGAACATACATGTAGTCTCAGTGTAAACTTTCATAATCGTTAAGTTAATTAACGGATGTTAACCGGGATCACCCGAATAACTAAAGTTTGTGAGACAAAAAATGAACTTGAAGTCCAAAATTTTTTTGGACGTTTTTGGTCGCCTAGTTTTTAAATCAAGATCTATGCGTTTATTTGGAACTTTCCCTTCCGATTCTTATGATCTACTCGGGACGTTTCATGATTCAGTACTTTTAAAGGAAAATTGGTTAATCTTGTTAGCAAAACTACCTTTGAAAATGTATTTTGCAGCTAATTTGTCACTTGAACTTAGTTCGTATGATCATCTTTCTATGCTTCTCCCTTTTTGTTGATTTTCTTAGTTAAATTTAAGCAACTACTATAAATGGTTATTTTTTATTTGAGTCAATAGTCAAGGTGAAGTGACTGAAAATTACGTCCTAGCCTCTCTTCAAAAAAAAAAGTATTCCAATATCAAAAAAACCACATGGTTTTTGTTAATGGGAACCGCTTTGTGAGAAAAAGGCATAATTCATCGTCATCCACGAGAAGTTCGTTCAAAAACACAGATTCTTTTATGACTTTTTGAGTTTTCATTGATATTTCAGAAAAATAATACTCGCTGATTTTGATACCGTATGTTGCATCTTCCATTCTATAAGACCGTCATAGTGTGATCAGGAGTTTTCATACTCGAAGAGCCCATAGTTTGGGACATTTCACGAATCTTGAGTCGAGCTATTTGTCTCAAACGATTGACATGAAAATTGCAAAATTGGCGCCGAGCAATCGGAAAATGCGCATTTCTAATCGAAAAGTTGACGTTTCCGCCGTTTGGAAATGCCATTTGAATGGAATGGATTACCTTTCGGAGGCCGTTTTTTCCCCAGTTTTCAACTCGAGTCAATGACCGCGCTTTTATATTTCCTGTGCCAGGGGCAAATTGCGTCCTGCTCTTTTC